CAACAAGATAATCTGAAAAGCTTATGAAATTTTATACAATTCATCTTTAATTATCTTAGCATGATTCTTAAGTTAACTAAGTCAATTATACCCATTTACTAAAACTGGTCCACAATTGAAAGAAGCAGCCATTTCTGAAACCCAACTTTAAACAGGCATAACTCACAAACCACAAGGCCAAATACCACAAAATTTTAACAGAAGCTAGATACATGAATTATCTATAACTTTGTTATTCTCATATTAAGATGATTTTACAGTTAGAAGGGTCAACTAATCCAATAATTACATCTCTGTCCAAAACATAGACAGAAACTGACATGCCACTTTAAACAGCTATAAATGGAGTTATACATGTACTATAAATGTGGTTCTAGACTTTTTAAAAATCTTAGCAAATTCTAAACAACTTTGTTGTAAACACCTAAAGCTAATTCTACTACTAAGAATGCCCCACAATAAGAACAAGGAAACCCTCTCTGGTTTTGGGCAGAAACAGCCACAGAGATTTAAGCAAGTATAACTCAAGATCTACTTAGCCAAAAATCATGATATTTAACTTTTTGAAAATCTTAATAAAAGTACCACAACTCATGTATTTTCACCAAGTCATGATTCATAATTTAACTAAGCCAATTAATTCAAACATGCAGAACTGTTCAGAGTAGAAGCAAAGCAATACAGGACATTTGTTATTTTTAGAATTCTTAAACTAAAAATCCTAAACTCCTGAAATTTTTACCAGACAACAACAATCACCTTAGTAGTACTCCACAAAAATTTCACATTTATTTGAGCATAAAAACTGCAGTTATGAAAAAGACAAGACATGGCAAGTAACAGGAACCTAGCTGCATAGATCTATTTTTACAGCAAAATATTTAAACTAAAACATGCCACATTATAGATCTACTGCATAGACAATTTCACAAGGATTCCAAAAAGTCATCATTTTCTAGTTTACGATTTTTGTACGAATTAGTATGAATTTTCAAAGTGGAGCATTCAAATCTGCAAAAATCAGAGAAAGGAAATTTAAATCTTGCATCGAGGTCCTTGGAATTTACACAAATTAAACCCGACAAATATATCCTTACTGCACTATTCATTAGAGTCACTGTCTATTCACTTAACCCCCTTCCTTTTCCTTTATTTCGAGGTCCTTCGCAGAGGTCCTTCGCCTTCTTCTAGGGAAACAGGCAGAGTCGAGGAGTGGCACAACATGGTCCCAACAACCTGAGGAAAGATGGTCAGGCTTCTGAAGGGGGCACATTGACGGCAGTGGTAGGAAGGGAGGAAGGCCGCCTGGGAGGCATTGCAAGGTGGGGAGGTTGGACAGCAGCAGAGAGGCGAAGAGAGAGAGCGCACCATGGCCACGGGAGCACCACCGGCTGACCATGGCGGCTCGGGCCTAGTGCGCCAGAGCGAGCTTGAGAGAAGCGAGAGGAACGGGTAAGTGAAAGCTCTAGTTTGGTTTTGGTGAATTGATGAAACCCTAAGTGCTAACCTAGTTTATCAAGTGATCATGAGATAGGTAGCACACTCCAAGTAGTGAAGCAAATGCGAGGTGGCATGTTAATGATGATGGCATGGTGATGATCAAGTGCTTGATGACTTTGACTTGAAAGAAGAGAGAGAAACAAAAAGCTCAAGGCAAAGGTATAATTTGTAAGAGCTATTTTGTTTTAGTGATCAAGACTTAGAGAGTGTAATCACATTTAGGATTGATAGCAGCATCTATTAAGAGGGGTGAAACTTGATCGAAATGGATTATCAAAGTGCCACTAGATGCTCTAACTCATTGCATATGCATTTAGGATCTAGTGGAGTGCTAACAACACCCTTGATAATATTTGTGTAAATATGCTACCACATGTGCACAAGGTGTTTGTAGGGTTGAGAGAATGAGAGAGGATCGCTTTCGGGAAAATGAAATGTCTATTTTCTATTGCGCGGATGCAAAATTCTTGGTGGAGGCACATCGCAAGGTGAAGAAGGAGAGTTGAAAGGTGGCGTATTTGAATCCTCGGACGAGAAAAGGTCGTCCGTCATTTATCGAGCCGGCGAGTTGAGCGAAAGAGAGTGGACGACGCGATCGAAAAAAACATGCCGCACCGGAGCACATTTACGAGCGTCCGGTCGGCTTCACACTGTTGAAATCTGACCATAACAACATTTGAAGCGAGGGACACGTGGTGGACGTGACCACGCCTAGTGCGACGAGAGCGTCCGGTCACCCGCTGTTGTGCCCAGTGTGAAGCCCCATGGCGAAGAGCCCTCTTGCACATTTTCATTGACATAGCAACCTTGTGAGCCTAGCCAAAGTTCTCCCACTGCATTTCCAAGAAGGAATCTTTGTGAGATTGGGAGATCTCAAGCAAAATGCGGTGAGTGAGCCTGGAGCCCTCTTGCACATTTTCATTGACATAGCAACTTTGTTTTAGCCAAAGGCGCTTGAGTGATTGCATCTAGAGGCACTTGGTGATTGAGGAGCTTGTTACTCTTGGTGGTTGCCGCCACCCTAGACGGCTTGGAGCAAGGATCGTTGAGTGGAGGAGGTGATTGTCTCCGACTCCGATCGTGGTGATTGTGAGGGTTCTTGACCTTTCCGGCATGGAGCGCCAAAAGGTACTCTAGTAAATTGCTTGTGGCTTGTGTGATCCTCATCTTGTATTGGGTGGCACCCTATTGAGGGACAGTGATGTCAATCGTAGCGTGAACCTCAAGTGAGTGAATCGCCACAACGAGGACTAGCTTGGCCAAGTGAACCTCTGTAAAAATCATTGTGTTCATCAATGGTGATTGGTCATCATTGTTATTCATCTTCGTGATTGATTGGTGCATGGCATCTACACGAAGACTTGATCACTCTCTTTACTTTACTATCGAACTAATTGACAAGCTCTTTAGTGTAGCTAGTTGTGAGAGCTTGCATGCTTGGTTGGTGTGGCTCTTTAGATGGAGCCCTAACATAGGGAGTCCGCTTTTTGGCATACTATCTAAACTAGAATTGTGATAGGTGGCTTGCATTCGGACCTAGCGGCGCCATAAGAGAAAAGTTGTTGTCTATTAGGATGCTCTACAAACTTGATTAAGGCTGCATGATCATTAGAGCTCTTCATCGTCGAAAGTGTGTGCGAATTAAGCCACATTCGGACCTTGGCGCCAGAGAAAAGTTGGTCTACTCTGGATGCTCTACAAACTTGATTAAAAGCTCTTCATGCATGTAATTAAGCCACAAAATATTCTTCACAAAGATGTGTCGATATCTTGATAGCGGTTACCAAACTCCAAAAATCGATGGTCAAGACAAGGTCCAACGAGTTCCATCCTTTTGCACGCTCTTCTTCCCGATGCATGCTCCAACTTTTATTTTGGGATCAAGTCAAGTTGCTTAACAAAATTTGGAGAACGCGAGACGCCAATGCCGATGTCAATGAATTTCTAGACTTAGAATATTTCTAAGTGCTGAAAACAACAGCAAATTCGATCTTGTGACCTCGATTTGACTTACTTCCAAGCTGATCTAGCTCTTAGTCCAAAAACAAAGTTTGTTCTACATGATATGGACTACAACTTTCATTTAGGGTCCAACCTCAAAACTGGTATAGAACCTGCTGTTCTACTTTGACCAAAGTAGGATCACGATGAAGCTTAAATTATCCTTTTTGATCCATTGGAGCATTTTTTTGGCATTTGCCCAACATGAACCTTTCAAGATTTTTGTTGTAGAGTTCATCTAGAGTCATTTTGGTAAGGTTGCAAGGTTTGGTTGACATCTCATGTTATCATTCACTTAATAGTGCAATTCAAGCACTTAGTAAAATCATTCCAACAAGGATATAACTTATCATTTTATGTGACTTTTTGATTCTAAACTTCATGAAACTTTTCGAGTGCCCAATATAGATGGGTATTGATGTGAGACATATGAAGATATCCCAATCACACCACCCAAGCATATATCTTGAAAAGGGGTCTATAGGCGAGCAAAGGTGCAATATCCAAGTTTAGGTTGGGGCTCGTTTCTATAGGTTGGACCTTGACATCTTCATCATCACTTAATATGCCATGTTCGAGCTCAAACCCATTGCTTAACTGGTGGCAAACACCTAGGGTGTTACAGGACGTCGGTCTCCTAAGAGGGTGAGGATGTAACACCCCGGCTCAGGGCTTAATAGGATTAATAGGATACTCATACCAAGAAGTTGCAACTTTTTTCCGAAAAGCCCTATCTCTTAAGAACTCCAAGGTTAAGCGTGCTTGGCTGGAGCGATGGAGTGATGACCCAGGAAGTTCTTCCGGGCGCATGAGTGAGGACAAAGTCTGCGCAGAAAAAGACTGAGTGAGTTTTGAGACAAAGTCTATGTCCTGAGAAAATCGAGATGTTGCCTCGAGGAGGGGACGTTACGAATACTTTCTTCATTAGAGTAACCTAGGAAAGCGTAGTCACCAACTTGAAATTTAGCGGTCTCCTTCTTTTATCGGCATAGCTCTTACGGCGTGATCGAGTCGAGATGGCCCCCCTGCTGGTGAGGTGTGTTTCGAGAGGAGGAGGAGAGCGTGGTGGGCCATGCTCCCGTCTGTCGAGAGAGGAGGAGAGCGAGGGCCACGACGGGAACAGAGAAGGAGCAGGGGTATAGAGGAGGGTTGCATGATTTTTTGCTAGTGTATTTATTGCTTTTAGTCAGTTTTAGAAAATGGAACCAAATACTCTTTTAGGAGGTTTTGAGGTTTTGGTAGCCTCTTGAAAGGTTCTAGAGGAGCTTGAACCAAACAGGGCCTCAGGGGCGGAGAAAGTATGAAGTATATTTTTAGTCCTCGAGACACGTACTCGAGGGGCAAAAAGGTCTTTCCAGATCAGTTTCCGAACAATTTCTACCAAAATCCGTTGGAAATCTGTTTCCCAATCCACGCCACCCATCCTGTCGTCTCCGCTGGACCTCCTCGTCGACCACTGGAACTGGATCAGTCAGTTCCAGCCTTCCAGGCTTCCAGCGATGTGTTCCTGCGCCTGCGCGCGCCTCCTCCCCCCGCTCTTCAGCCCCGCTCCAAGCCCAAAGCCCAGACCCGCCTTCGCGCACGGCCCGACGCCAGCCCGCAGCCGCGCCGTCGTCGAGCTCGCGGGCGCAGCCTCCCGGGACGACGCGCCTGCGCCGCTGTCCGGCTTCGACTTCCTCGAGCTGAAGCGGGAGCTTGAGGAGGAGGAGGAGGCAGCGGTGGCTGTGGATGCGAAGGAAGGTGGTGGGGCTGTCAATGAGGACGATGGGGAGAGGGGTGCAGAGAGGAGTGCGGGTGGTACGAGGAGGCGGCGACGGCGGCAGATGGCGAGGCGATCGGCTCTGCTCGCGAATCAGGTGATTAGTGTGAGCTCGGCGCGGAGCCTCGGGTTCGTGTCGCAGCTCTGGATCGACGCCGCCTCGGTACGTGAGGGCTGTTGCTCTCTGCACTTTCTCGCTTTCTTTGGGTTTGGTCGAGCTGCGTGCTGTGACACTGGGTAGCTCGTGGGCGGCGATTAGCATTTGCGTTTCACAATATATAGTTCAAGTTACCATGTTAATTATTCGTTTTCGTGTCTGTATCATTGCTAGGACCAATGATTACAGCGTAATGTGCTTAGTGTAATTGCTGCACAGGCGTTAACTCCCGAGTGTTTCTTGATTGAGATGTCAAACGTGATACTGTTATAGGGTGTTTGGTTTGAGGAATGGAATGGGTTAATACATCATCACCTCATTTCCCACAAGCTAATAATTAGTACTAATGTGAGGAATTGAGTCATTCCACCAAATTTGAGGAATGGACTCACGATGCACAATGTTTTGATCCCCAAACCAAACACACTGTTAGTGTAACATACGTGATACGTTGCTGAACTAATGCTGATGACAATGCTTTATCTACTTTTTTGTTTAGAAAAACTACCGGTTCACATTTGCAGGAAGCTAAGCTGAGTGTCGGGTATCGATATTAGGGATACCCAAAGCAAGGAAGTTAGCGCCCACGCTGACTTTCCCGGATGGCTCGAGACGTATTAAAAGGTCTCGCCCGACCCTAAAGCCGCGGGCTCCGTCTTGCCCGACCTCAAGGCCGCGGGCACCGTCTCGCCCGACCCCAAGGACGCGGGTTCCGTCTCGCCTGACCACTTGGGTGCGGGCTCCGTCTCGCCCAAGGTCGCGGGCTCCGTCTCGCCCGACCTCAAGGACGCGGGTTCCGTCTTGTCCGACGGGGACCCATACCGCCGCCAACCACTCCAGGTCCAAGCGTATGGGCCTAGGTCAAAACTCTGACGCCAGGGAAGAGGCTAACACGCCTCGATGTAACCCGTGGCCATGACGGGCCATACCTGGTGATTCACATCATGAACAGTGTCGGACGTGCCGGTGCTGTTCTGCCTAATCCCCGTACGGATGCTGACAGGCGCGTCAGTTCACCACGACATCCGCCGGGACGGAGTGAAACGCCATGACCGGCAGATGACGCCTGCGCATGGCGCCAGTGACGAACAGGACCGCAACATGGAGCCGTCCCTGTTGACATCTACAGGATCAGCGGGACCCACATGAAGGAGAAGAAGGACCCGGCAACCCTGGAAGCCTTCTTCTCTCTCTCGTTCTTCTCTTTTTCCTCCTCTGTAACCCGCGCTTTCCCTTCGCCTATAAAAGGGGAAGCAGGGCGCCCCACGCTAGAAAAAAGGACGAGATCTGAACACAAGAGCACGACACGAGCACACGGCTGAGCGGCAAGCGAGCTTTCAGCACCTGTTCACTCCTTCCACCAGAGACTTGGGATCCTCTCCCTCTCTCGCCTGTTTGTAACCCCTACTGCAAACCACGTGCCGGTAACACGAGCAGCAGCGAACTGGACGTAGGGACGTTCCGCCCGAACCAGTATAAACCCTTGTGTCCTCCGAGCACACCATCCGAGCCAGACGTGCAAATACAAATTTACTCGTCGGTGGTCCGAAAACACCGACACTGAGTTTTCTATTTCATTGTGCACTAGTTTGTTTTCTTTAATGTTCCATTGTTTTGGTTTCAAAATATTCAAGATAACTAGACTTGGATTTCTCATATCGCACTCATTGGAGGGTGCAAGGGTTTCAAAGGTCCATGTAGTACTACAGGTAGCTTTTAAATAACTTTTTCGACATAGGCCTGATATATCATCATTCATCAATGGTGGAGCGGAAAAATGTTTTAAGAGAATACATATGTCCTGACATAAATTCTGAAGTGGTGTTTGACTGCATGGAAGTGCATCTATTCTAGTATTCTGTGCAGGCCCCCTAGTACAGTAAACAAGGTTTTGCAAGGTCAGGAAGAAGTGAGAAGTTTATGCACCAGTTGGAGAAATGGGTACTGGCAAAAGAGGGGCTTGGATTCTGGCTTTGGCTTTTAGCTGTATTTTGAGCATTCACCACTTATAAGTATGTTTGGTTTGTTAAAGTGAACATCCTAGCTGACTGTAAAACCTGAAAAGCAGTGGTTTGTCATTCACAGATTACTGACAACTCCAGTGGCCAGGTAGGATTTTGATTCTAAATTCGTCAAGAAAATGAAGCTATACACCAAAGCAAAGACAACAATAGACATTAAAGTTCACTCTAGCATTTCACCATCTTCAGGTCAACACACCTCTGTTATTTCAAAGCTCAGCTAGTGCGCTCATCAATATAAATAATCAGTCCCACCTGAGTTTCCTGGTTGGTCACCTCCAGGAATTGACTTCTGATAGCCCTGACCTTATCATTTGCGTCTATCTAATTATATTAGAGAAGGTAGGCTATGGTAGTAAAAGTAACTTGGCTAGTGTATCATTTGATGGTGGTGAAGCTTTTTAATCTCCCCTTTGTGTCCAATGGTATTGTATTGTAGCGCTTGCCAGCCTAGGGCTTCCTGTGATTCCTTACCTATCAACTATCATTAATTTTAAGATATGATCTTATCTGTTTAGATTTTGTCCTAATTAATATAGAATGTTTTTTTAATAGAAATATATTGGGAGGCTCGACCTCTATTAAAGAGGAGGCACATATTACCATTGTAATCAAACATGAAGAAAGAACAAGTCATTTTCATACATATGCTCCTCTTATCCCAATGAAACATCCAAGCCTCTGCCATGCAGCCTTCTTCCCGGTGATAATTATCCAGATGATCCAAGGATCAAGTTCATAACAGTCCATATGACCGAGTGTCATGTTATTGCATTAACTTTTAAATTCAAATCTCCAATAACTTTGCCATGCAGACATCCCAACATTTTTGATGCTCTACAACCATAGGCTAAAATATTGTGGAGAATCTAGTAGTGGTTGCTAAGATCCCCCGTCTCCACAACTAAATAGATGAGCCCTAGCTTACTGTATACACCACACTCTGTGTCCCCTTTTGTTTGAGCTGATTGTGAGCCTTAGGACCATCTCTGCTTATTTGAAGAAACTATTTCTGTGTGATGACAATACTGTAATTTCCCTTCCTCATCTGCCAGTGCAAACTTTCCTAATCCCTTATAGGCAATGTGTTGCGCCGATAAAATGTGGACCTGGACCCACACTGACAGTGAGACAAGCTGGATTTTTTTTAAGTTTGCAGCAGCGTGAGAGCGGTTAATACTAGAAGTTAAACCTGCTTCTACAGTGAGCTAGGCGTTATCATAATGACAATACAAGCAGGATGGAATGATTCCCTAAAAGTTAAAACGATATCACATTCTCTTTATGTCATTCCATTCTATTTATCTTCAGTGGGCTGTTGCATTGGTTGAAGTGAGGCCAAGCTTACTTTCAGGTGAAGCAGAGAAATTTCTTTTTGAGGACATATATCAGGTGCGATGGCAGTGAATGCTCGATTCCCTTTCCGACATAGCTGTTTTTTTATTGTCAATATAAACATGAGGGAGAATGTATTACTTTACCCAGTGTACCACAGATTCAACCTGATGTGTATGGAACAAATCTCTTTTATAGGTTGGAGATGTGGTGCTTGTTGAGAATGAATCTGTGATCGATAATGAACATAAACTGGTTGGATTGCACAGCTTGGTATGCCAGCTTTCTTCATTGGAACAAGATTCATTAACCACGTGATGTGCCATCAAACTGTATCTATTCAGAGGATAATTTAGCATTAAACAACAACCTCTGTTGAATGTATTTTTTTCTGTATGTACAATTTCACACAAAAAGACCCAAGTGGTCGGACCCTTCCCCTGACCCTGCGCAAGCGGGAGCTACGTGCACTGGGGCTGCCCTTTTTTTATGTACAATTTCACACAAAAAGGGATTGGTTCCTTTGTTTCAAGTCCCTCACAATGATAATCTTACTTGTTAGGTGGGCTACAATGTCGTAACTTCCAGGCGGCGCAATGTTGGCAAGGTGAGTCCATATGGTCCTTAAAGAGAGGTAACCTGCGTAATTTTATTTCCAAAAGTATTTAAAGAATCTGCTTGAACTCGGGTGTTTTTTAAGTTCCTTTTTTAATTCCTTATTAGGTGCGTGGTTTCACATTTGACATCAGCTCAGGTGCCATGGAGTCTCTTGAGCTTGACTCATTTGGGCTTTTGATTGTCCCTTCTAGCTTGGTAATTGAACTAGAAAACAAATCTTGTTTTGCATACACGCCTGCTGAATATTATCCTGCTGCTGTCTCAATACCCCACTTACTTTCCTTTCCGGGTAAGCACATACTGTTTATTTGTCGAAGACGTGTTGGATATAGTCTCTGATACAATCGTGGTGCATGAAGACGCTGTCTCACGGGTTCAACGGTTAACACAGGTCTGCATTCTGACTGCTTCTGATAGATGCTAATAAACCTAGGATTTGTTCGTGATAATTTTTTGATCACATTGTTCCTGATAGAAGGGCGGGCCTGGTGCAAGCGGTAGAGTCTTACCGCCTGTGACCGGAAGGTCTCGGGTTCGAGTCGCAGTCTCCTCGCATTGCATAGGCGAGGGTAAGGCTTGCCACTGACACCCTTCCCCAGGCCCCGCACAGAGCGGGAGCTCTCTGCACTTGGTACACCCTTTTATTGTTCATGATAATTGGATAAACACACTTTGAGTGAAAGTATCCATCAACTGAATTTTAGGGCATTTTGGGCACCCAAAACATCCACGGACCTGGTGGTGAGATAGACGAGTACAGTAGGATTGGGGGAAGGAGGAGGAGAGCAAATGGCCAGGGAAAGTCCGGTGGCCGAGAACTCCGCAGGGGAGCGAGGCATCAGGAGGATGACTGGGAGCTGCCGATGGACTATTGACACATGGTACCGGTTGCTTTCGTGCGGGAGCAGGTGGAGGAAACTCGCCGTGGTAGCATTCTGTTTAGTGCTAATCTTGTGTGCCAGAGTCAATTATGTGATATGCTTTAGTTGTACATATAACATATCGGGGGATTACGAATTCAGAAAAGACGAAAGGGCGGTGGCCCTTTCAGCCTGGTCAGAGTTTGGTCGCTTTGGCCCGGTGGGTTAGTGAAAACGAGCTTGTTTTGTTTGCTATGCAATGATGGTACCCTTTTCACCTGTTCACTGGACGTTACTACTAGAAAATGAGATTTTTCATTCAGTGATGCACACTTCTCTGGTATTCAGTGACGAGTACTGCTGGAGGCGACCTCGGCTGACGAGTACTGGTGGAGGCGACCTCGGCTCTCCCTCTCCCTCTTGTCCGTTGTCTGTGTACCTTTCGCAAGTGGAGGCCCAGGATATACACGGATGTGCGCCTTTGTTTAGCTGGGTCCTACCGTTTTTGGCACTAGTACAGCGACCAAACCAGCTTAGCCATCACTGCCCCAGTGTGAACTCACGCGCATTTTTCGCGTTTGATATCGAGGGGGACCTGAGCTGATGAATGCCTCGTTTACATTCACTCCCACCAGATTCCGCCGGCCAATTGATGGCACCACCGGCCGGCACTCGTCCACCCAAGTCAGTTCCGCCGGCGTCCAGCCAAAAGATCGCCATCGTTCCACACACCACGCCACAGTGCAGCTGCTGCTATCGGGTGGTGATGGTGCGTGCTTCGCTTCTGTTTAGTTCAAAAAATTGCTAAAGTATCGGATCGGAAAGATTAAATGTAGACGGCTGTCGTGGACCATGAAAGCAAATCCAAAAAATTTTGTCATCTAAACGCGGCCTAAGGGCTAACGGAGAGCCGGAGACGGCTGTCGTGGACCATGAAATTCTATGCGCGGACGGCGGACAGGCCAGTAGGCTAGCTAGTACAAACAGGAGTACTAGTATAGCACTGCACTTCTGAAGTTCTGATGATGCTGTACGCTGAGGTGCCTGGCGCTTGCGTCGTCTTGGTCCTCGTCGCCTACCCGAGGTGCAGCACAGTGTTCACGTGACCTCAATCCGGCGACCTGGGATAAGTGAAGGCGATCAGTCGAGCGGATGCAGTTATATCACCGATAAATGTCCATGATCGCGCACATGGGCGTGCGGTGCCTCGTGTGAAGGCGTGAGGTCTCCCTCTCACCAACAATCCACGCCTGGCCTTATGATCTGCGTTCGCTCCCCTCTGCTGTGGACGAGGACGATCAAACTGGACTGGTAAACTGGAAGCAGCAGCTGCTGCTGCTGCACTAGAATCGTCGCTTCTCCAGATCCGGTAACGACGACACGTACTACTACAGCGTAACAGAGCAAGTCTACGCCATCGTTGCCTCGCGAAGTCGCCCCTATCTATGTTTGAGTTTTGACTAAAGCAAGACCCTACTGGTGCTTGGCAGACTTGAAGTCGCACCAACGACCAACGAGCGCATAAGATAAGAGAGAAGAGGAAATGGAAATGACAAGGAGAAGAACTTCTAGAGGAGAGGAGTACTACCTCCCCTGCTCCTGTCCTGGCATCTTCAATCTTTTCAACTGGCTGTATTAAGTCAGGCAAATTGCACGGCAGAGTCCAGTAGTCCACGGACGGGACCAACGACCCTTGGCTCACTGCCTCGCCAGCGTTCAGCAGCGGCGCACGCGTGGATAGGAGTCGGCCCCACACGGTGTCCGTCAGATCACGGGTGCAGTCAAAAGTGCCGGGCGAGACGAGGTGGCGCCCGCACGACCGCGGCTCGGTCTCGTCTCGCCTCGCCAGCCTCCTCCTCCTACCGAGCGGAGCGGCGGAACAGAGAAGTCGTCAGGTCAACGTAGCCCCGGCCAGCCAGTTAACCCTTTGCCTCCCTCCTGTTCTGTTCCCGTTGTTTTACCACGCACACGTTTTGACCCCGGACCCGGACGCCCCCTTTTCCTGCCCCCGTCTGGCCCTCTCCCTCGCGCTCTCCCTCTCCCTGCCCAGTCCCCACTCCGCAGCTCCGTTCACACCGGTGATGGTGCTCTGCAGCGCTTGCCTGTACCACTAGTCAACTGCTCTTACCTCGCCCTCGCCGCGGGAACGGAGACTCGGTGGTGTTTTTTATACTACTACTACTGTCTACTAGTGGCCCGGTCGTTTTTGCTGCCTCTTTGCGAAGCGAGTGCGTCATAACTTCCAAGAACTGGGGTTCGAGGGGCGCCGGGTGCGGGAGGTAGCAACAAGAGGAAGGAGACGACGACGACGCGTCCTCTGCTGGGAGGAGACAAGAGGCGTAGGCGACGACGAGGAAGCGTCCAGGGGGGGACCCTGTTCGAAAGGTGAGTTCTTGGCTGCCTCTCTCTCTCTCTCTCTCTCTCTGCCTTGTCAACTGAGGTTCTTCTCACGGGTAGCATGATTCAGTGCTGAATTGAGCTTCGACATTGGAGTTTGCACCGCAGGGTCTCTCTGTTATCCCCGTTTTTCCTAAGGCAGCTTCAGGATTTCTCTGAACTGAATGTACAAGTAGGATGATTCGGGTGCTCGGGTTCCTTCATTATTGTTTTCATGCTCTGTCTTGGAATTGAGATCCTGCTCCCACTTTTGTGGGTGCTTTGTGCTACCTACCAGCCATCATGGCAGCGTTAGTTCTAGTTGTTTTCTGCAAGAGGTCTTTTGCGGTATCTGTAACGGCACCGAAATTGGTATGACTCTTTTCTAGAAGCGTTGGTTCTAGTTCAACATTATTTAGGTCTTTGTTCAAGTAGATTGATTTGTGGGAGGCTGAGTTCTGGTGGGAGCTGAGGATATTTGACGGCCTCATGATTCATGAACAAGCCAGAGGCGTTAGGATAATCAGTAGCTTTTGACGACTAAATTAAGAAATAGCCAGCTTTTCGATTTGTTGCTTTCCGGTTAATGAAATTCTTGCGGTTCATACTTTTATTTTGACAGTTACAGTAGTCCTGAACGGCTAACTGCTACCCATTTCATTTTTTTAAAGCGCAAACGAAGTACCTAGTAGTACATATGCGGCTAACTGCTACCCATTTCATTTTCTTGCTCTGTAGACTGCTAACGAAGATGAAATTTTCAAGCTTTAATTCGATCCCAAACTGCTAGCCTCTTCTGTTGGTGAGATTCTGATCCTCGTTTCCTTTGTATATTTGCACTTTTGCAGGCTGGCAGCTGCAGGTGTCTTCTGCTATTTTACTATCTGAAGTTCTGAACTTGGAAGGTACTCTTCTCAGCCTTAGCGTCTTGGTGCTAAGTGCTAACTGGTAACCGCAGCCTGGAACTGTGAGCTATGGGTGATGTTCTGGTACTTTCTACCTTGATGGCAAACACAGAAGGTTTTCGCCTTGTGACATGCCCAAAGTGTCTGAACATTCTCCCAGAACCGCCCAATGTTACAATCTACAAGTGTGGCGGATGCGGCACCACCCTTCGAGGTAATTTTGATAATTCGCTGAGAAAGTTTATCATTTGTATGCTCATAATTTCTGAAGCGCCCCTCCTCGTGCTTTTGCAGCTAAAATCCGTGCCAGCAATGGCCAACATGTGGCTGCAAAACAAGTTCGCCAGGACTCTGATAACTATTCGGTTGCTACCGCCGTGAGCAATGGGGTGCCTCCTCAAAACAAAGACCAAGGCTCCATTGGTGCTGTCACAGAGAGTTCCTTCAATGCTGATGCTCCAAGCACCGAGCATGACAGCAATGGAACCAGGAGCAGTGAAAATGGTGATGATATACTGGCTGGGCAGAGTGCTGTGGTGGTTGAGGATGCTGAGAACAAGGACAGTCACAATTTTGAAGGCCAGGATACCAGTTCAGGGATGGAAGGTCCTGCTGACCAGACACGCCTGAATGCAAATGGCACATATTTAGATTCCGGTGAAACAGAAAACCACACCGTGGAACAACCTACGGAGAGTTCAGAGACTTGCCGAGTAAGTGGACATGATGATACTGAATGCCACTTGAACACCTCTGAAAACAAAATTCTTTCTTCTGAGATAAGCAAAGCAGCTGTCAGTATGCAAGATCCTAAGCAGAAGGAAGCAGGCGAAGCCGAACACGCAGCAAAGAAGAAGAGTTATCTTGTGAGGGTACTGTCTCGGTCTTGTGATCTTCGATCATCAATAAACTCGATTGATTTCCATTCTTCACGGACTTCTCTTCAGTCGAAAAGCTTCAGGGCTAGTGGGCCCCTTCAGTCGAAGATCATGAACACAGTGGATGAACTGAAGGGTGACCTTTCTGAATTGTTCAATAAACCTACAGACTGCAAGCCAAAGGCACACCACCCTTCACGCCCTTCCAAACAAGATGGCCACATGACTCGTGCAGCCATCACATCCACTGCACCTCTTGCAGCATATCATCCTGCTGCCAAGCATTCTGGCTATGTATCTCGCCTAAGCAGGTCTGGCCAGGTTCCTCCTCGTGGACTGCCGTCGCTGCGATATCGCCGGCACAGGGTTTATTCATTCCATCAGAATGTGCAAACGGAAATGAGACCTTGCCGTCATGAGTGCTGCCATAGCTGCCAGCCACCCTGCTACAGATCCTGCAAACAAGAACCTGCAGCGATGCACAAGCCACCGATCATGGAGATCAGGCGTCGTCCTCCTCCCAGAAACCACTGCCTGCCAGTCCTACGTGGCGCTCCGTTCGTCATCTGCTCCAGCTGCGTCAGTCTGGTCCAGCTGCCCACCGACTTCGCCGTCCCGAGCAGAGGAACACGCTGGCTGCAGTGCGGCTCCTGCTCCGAAGTCCTCTCCTACTCCTACAGGGACCCCGCCAGGAAGAAGCTGCAGTCACCATTCGGGGGCGATGAGTACAGCACCGATGAGTACGAGATTCGCCACCAGGCTGCCGGCGGCCACAACGCCGCCGGCTTCGAGCAGGCAGATCCGGTGTCCTACTCCGAAGAGTACGGGCTCTCGTTCGGCGTCAGCCACTCGACCAGCACCGAGGACGGGCAGCCGCTGTACGTGTCGAGGAACTCGTCCTTCAACACCGTCGACGAAAGGATGGGCAGAGACGGCAAGCTTCACCGGCTGATGGGGTACTCGTCGGCGAGCGAGCTGCTGCGGCATTCGCCCGACCTGTTCGAGAGCTTCGACAGGCGCACGCCCACCGCAAGAACGCACGTCGACGGGAAGGGTAAAGGCGTCTGCGTGGCAGAAAACGATGCGGGCGAGCGAGACGGTGCGGCGAAGAGATCCAAGGCGAGGAGTGGTGGCTTGCCGCTCCATGGGATCCTGAAGAAGGGGATCCATGGCCTGGAATCACTCAAGCTCAGGTCGTAGCTCATGATCTTCGTTTGGCTGGGCTCTGGCGATCGAGTTTAGGAGAGAGTAGCATACATACACGACAGGTTTATAGAGTTTAGTGGCAGTGTTAGTGGTTGGCGTTCTGATCTGATGTGTGCTTACTGCTTAGTGGCTAGCTTGTGTGTGAGTTTGTTTGCAATTCATCTGTGTGTGGAGTTGGTTGGTTTGCAAATTTTGTGTGCTCTTCGATGTGTGTAAGGTTTGCACGCCACGCATGCTCGATGCTGTGGATGTATATATATATTGATTGATTGATGATTTTGATTTGTGCGCGATTTATTCATCATCGGTTTGGCTCGATCCGACACGGGAGATTGCTGCGTTTGGCTTTTCGAAAATTGTGACACACAAATACTCCGTAGTAGGGAAGGGGAGAAGAGAAACAGGGATGAGAGGCTCACTAACGAATGGACCCCATATGTCATGGAGGAATATACGTGCCTTAATTTGAGGCTAGAGTTGAGGTAATTATTTGAGGAGCACAAAAAAACCTGAGCAAATCATTCCTTAAATAAAAACACAGGGCCCTTAAAAATGCCACGATCACGATTCACCGCGCGTGCTCTCTTCCCCGCCCCCTGGACGGCTGGACCTCTCTCTCTTCGCGACGAGCACCCAGGTACTGCCACCTCTCCTCTCCTCTCCCCTTCCCGCTGTGCGAAACCAAGCACCCAAGCCCTAACTTAAAGCTATATGGTATTTGGTGCCTACTAACGTCGAACATTCTGCGAAAATTATCGGGTGTACGTACATCCATGTCCCTTTACTGGTCCGCCCCTGCATAAGGGGAACGCATTTTACTCCCAAAATAGATGGATGTAGGTATTATGTTTGGTTTGGTTGATTCATGTTCGTTCCCTTTCCAGATTTGCGAAACAACAGTCCGTGGAATTGGGGACGAGTGGTTTGGATAGGAATCCTAGGATCTAGTCTAGTTCAAATTTGAGTTATGGAAATACGACCTTTAGTAGAAGGTAAATCTTCTGATCAAAGCTACAGTATTTGTTAAAAATCAGGATTTTTTTTATAGTTCAAGGGCCAACCAGCCCCGGCCTTTCAATTATTATTAATCAAAAGACCATCCAGACATTACAGCACAGTTCAGGTTCAGACAATAGCCTCACAACAGCCGAAGGAGGACAAAGCACCACCCAAGCCAAACTGAAAGGAAAAAAGATAGTTTCCGACAAAAAAGGAAGGGGCGTTGGCCACCCGGGCCACCTTAGCTACGCTTCAGATAACATTGAAGGCAGCGCTAACCATCTGGTTCTTCAGATTAAACCATCCATCTTCATCAGTCTTCAGACATGGAATCACCATGATATCCCCAACGCTAGAATAGGATTCAGCAACTGGCATCTCGTCTCCCGGAGTGTTGAAAATAACAGCTGGCGGATGATTCTTCAGGGAGTACCACACAGCTTCATCAGTCTTCAAGTTTGACTTCATAGTGATAGCACCAGAGTCATTTTAAGTTTCCATTAGAGACAGCTCACTTCTTGGATCTTCAGGTTCCTCTCCAGGGCAGACAAAAAATCATCTTGGGAGCTTCTTTGATTTTCTTCACATAAAGTTGTAGCTGATCTTTCTTCTCGGCGGGACAGAGGATCTCCCAATTTTGCAACAGACCGGCTATCCTGAAGAAGAGTATTTCCATACTTTTCCACCCAACACTCTGAAAACAAAGCTCATTCTTGAGCTTCCATATACTCCACAAGACAGCAGAAGTTACAATATTTAACAAACCATCCTTTTATTACTAAGCCAAAATTGCCCTATAACAGCTAAATCATTCCCTACTGTAACACCAACAATATCTGAAATAACCTTCCAACATTGTTTAGCAACCACACACTCAAAAAATAAATGATGAATAGTTTCTGTTTCAGAACAGAATAAGCAGGAGGGGTCCTCAACCTTTCTCCTCTTGGCAAGATTATCTCTAGTAAGAGTCTTATTATTGGAAACTAGCCATGCTAGACGAAGAAAAAATTACATCCACTGCCTGCAAACAAATGGGGGGACGGCTTTCAGCCATGAGGAAAAGGAAACCGTGGCAGGGGAATATTTCAAGAACCACCTGGGCACGTCCACCCAAAGGACCAGGACCATAGATTGGCAGGCACTGAGATACACCCCACGAGATCTCTCGGAGCTGGAAGTGCCATTCTCACAAGAGGAGATCAAGGACACGATAACTTCGATGCCGTCAGATAAGGCCCCGGGCCCCGATGGGTTCACCGGCGCCTTCTTCAAATCCTGCTGGTAGGTCATCAAAGACGATGTCACGGCGGCCATAAATAATTTGTTCCATCTGAACTCCCAGGGTTTCGAACTCATGAACTCGGCAAATATTGTCCTACTCCCCAAAAAGGAGGACGCACTGCGGATCACAGATTACAGACCCATTAGTCTTATACACAGCTTTGCAAAGATCTTCTCAAAGCTCCTGGCCAACAGGCTCGCCCCAATTCTCAACTCGCTAGTCTCCAATTGTCAAAGTGCCTTCATAAAGAAGAGAAGCATCCATGATAACTTCTTATATGTCCAGACCACAGTACAAAAGTTGCACAAGCTGAAAACCCCGGCCCTCTTCATGAAACTAGACATCCACAAGGCTTTTGACACGATCAATTGGAGTTACTTGCTCGAGGTGCTCCAGGCACTGGGCTTTGGGCCACGTTGGCGCGAATGGGTATCCATCCTTTTCCGCACGGCCACTTCGACGGTGCTGCTGAACGGCTAGCGAGGGCCTAATTTCAGCCACAGCAGAGGGGTCCGCCAAGGTGACCCTCTATCGCCCATGCTCTTCATCCTCGCCATGGATCCCCTACAACGGCTGCTAGAGCTGGCCACACATCAAGGAATCCTCTCTCCTCTACCATCGGCTGTAGCAAGGTGGTGGATCTCCATGTATGCAGATGACGCGGCCGTCTTCATAAACCCCGTAAAAGAAGACCTGGAAGCTACCAAAAGGATCCTGCAAGCATTTGGGAATTTCTTGGGCCTGCACATAAATTTGCAGAAAAGCTCAATTCACCCAATCAGATGTGAAGAAGTGGACCTGGACCACATTCTGTCTTCTTTTGCAGGAACAAGAGGTGCATTCCCTTGCCGGTATCTAGGACTGCAGCTGCACGTCCGTAAGCTCCGGAAAATTCATGTTGCTTATAGAGCGCATTGGCCAAAGGTTGCCTGGGTGGAAAGGGAGATGGCTAAATATAGTTGGTCGCCTCACTCTAGTCTCCTCGGTCCTCTCATCCATGCTGACCTACCACCTCACAGTGCTCCCCCTTGCGGCTTGGGCTAGGAAGAAAATCGACAAAATCAGGAGATCCTTCCTTTGGAAAGGTGAAGAAAATGCAAACGGCGGCCACTGTCTAGTGAACTGGCCAACAGTTGCTAGACCCAAAGGCCTTGGCGGTTTGGGGATACCAGATCTAGAAAAATTTGGCAGGGCGCTTCGCCTATGATGGCTTTGGCAGGATTGGGTGGACTAATCCAAACCTTGGGCGGGCGCGTAACTGCCTTGCAGTGAAGCCAACCGGCTGCTCTTCAACTCATCAACCAAGGTCATGATTGGCGATGGCGCAAAGGCCTGTTTCTAGCACAGCAGCTGGCTGGACGGTGAAGCACCCAAATATTAGCACCGCACTTGTTTGACTTGTTGAGAAGGAAAAACAAATCGGTCCAACAGGAGCTTCAAAACTATAGTTGGATCCGATCGCTAAGGGGCAAGATCACCTCCACTGTCCAAGTCGAGGAGTTTGTCTCCCTTTGGATAAGGCTCCAAAACATCTAGTTGACACCGAGCGTTCGTGACTCCATAGTCTGGAGGTGGACAACCGATGCTTCTTACTCCACCCGTTCAGCGTACAGGATCCAGTTCAGAGGTTCCTATGGCGGATTCCGAAATGACCTCATGTGGAAAGCACATGCTGAGAATAAAGGAAAAGTGTTTGTTTGGATCCTGGTGCGGGAAAAAGGGCCTGTTTGGATGCTGCCTCCCAGGCACCTCCAGCGCCAGGCAGAGCCCCCAGGCGTTCGATTTTCATCGCCTGGGGCTGAGATTGGTTGCCTGGCAGGCACGCCCAAGCGAGGGCGGCATCCAAACAGGCCGAAAGTCTTAACGGCGGATAATCTTCAGAAGAGAGGCTGGCCTCATCAGGACCAATGTGCCCTACGTAACGGTCCTTTGGAAACATGCCTTCACTTATCACTGCTTTGCCCTTTCACCAAGGCTGTGTGGAGCCAAGTTCTTTCATGGGAGCATTTCGATGTACAGTTGATCCACCCCACTCAAGACCCACCTCACCTGAAGTCTTGGTGGGAAGAGGCCGCAACCAAGATAGCGAAACAAGAAAGAAGGCGCTTCAACGGGATGGTCATCTACACGCTATGGAACATATGGAAGGAAACGAACAGGAGAATTTTTAACAACGCCCACGAGTCGGCATTGCAAGTGGCTTTAAGGGTAAAAGAGGATATCGAGCAAAGAAAGAGGGCTTTAGCTTGGGGAGGGGCCCCTCTTGCTCTGTACATAAACCTTTTTACCCTTCTTAATTGAAAGGCAGAGCTCCTGCCATTACGTTCAAAAAAAAAAGAAACTACCCATAAAAAGAAATGAACCCTAGGAGGGATTTTTATATGCCATAAAGCAGGAACTTGTACAGGTTTTATACCTCTAAAATTTATGATTTTGTAAAGAGATTATGAGGAATAGACACCTTTAGAAGAAAACATCCACACCATCTCATCTTACTCCTCACTCAAATTAATAGTAGAGACTAACTCCAAAACTTCTAACCAGGAATTGTATAACTCTGCACTGACATTTCTTTTAAAGGAACATCTCAAAGTTTGCTCATCCCAGAGATCAGCAACTGTCTCATTCAAAATCCTATACAGGGGCCAAAATTGAATGGCTAGGCTAGAAGAACCAAACCAGTTATCTTCCCACAGCCTGATCTTCCTACCATTCCCATCCTTCCATCTAAAACCCATTTTCGCAGCCTGAGCAGCCCACATGAACCCCTTAAAAAAGTTTTGGACTGAAAAATATTTGGCTTATTAGTCTTATACTTAAAGTCTATAAGCTCTTTCCAAAGCTTGTCTCTATCAGAGTTGTACCTTTTTAACCAAGATCCTAATAAACTAATATTGAGATCTCTTAAGTTGGGAATACCTAAGCCCCCAAAGTCTTTACACATAGAAACCAACTCCCTGTTTGCTAAGTGAATCCTATGTTTATCCTCTGAATCATTCCATAAGCAGTTTTTCATATGAGTATCTAAGATCTTAATTGCCCACTGGGGAAATTTAATAAAGGAAAGCAGGTAAACAGGAATGCTTGCCAGACAGGTCCTAATGAGCATTGCTCTAGCAGCCAGGGAAAGCAATTGTCCCCTCCACCCTGCAATTCTTTTCAAGATCTTGTCTACTAGTGGCTGTATATCATCTCTAGATAGTTCATCAAAATGTAAAGGTACTCCTAGATACTTCAGAGGAAAGGAGCCAACTGGGCAAGAAAAAAATATGAGCAAATCTATGTGTATCTTCTAAGTCTAGATTTATAGGAAGTAACTCACTCTTGTGAAAGTTCACTCTCATGCCCGATAGTTGTTCATACAGCATAAGAATGCATTTCAGGTTCCTTAAAGCTGACTCCTCGGCTTTTTTAGAACAAAATTGTGTCATCTGCATACTGTAGAGACACAATCCCCCCACTCCTAAAGTCTCCTAACAGACCCTTAAAAATCAGGATTCTCATATATATTACTCATTCTCCTTTAACATTGCTATAAGGAGTGTTTGTATTTGCAATGTTGCAAGGGAAGGAGTTCGTGTTTGTATGCCCCACTTCTCTTATTAAATGAAAATGTGGTTATCTTTTTTATAGAGGTAAAAAAGCGAGTATAGGCACAAAGCTATCAGGTTGGGTCGTTGATTCTTAGGTTTGCTGTCCATTGGTTTGGGTTCTCACACAACATTAGCTTTTGCATTTGTACTGATCTTGGCAGGGAACATGACTGAACTTAAGTGGAGAAAAACGCTGCTGGAGACACCCTCAGGATTCGCCCTGTTTGCTGTTGATGAAGATGTACTCAAAGAACCTGATGTACCAATCTAATTCTATTTCTTTCCTACATTTGTTTCATCACTTCCCTTTTCCTCTGGACCTTGCAACTAGTGATAAATCTACACATGCTTTGTCATTTTCCTTTGCAGGATATCTGGGTGTATTTCAAGAATGTATCTACTGCAAAACATGTACAATACGGAATTATGGATAGTTCTATTTGCACTAGGGCACTATTGTTTTTGCTACCCGTTTGATTTTTTTGCTGCTTGGACAGATTATGTTTCGCCTTGGTGATGTACAGTTTGCTGACAAAAGTGTTGCTTGGGATGGTCAGACACAACCTAGCAAGGACCTTATTCGTCTAATTCGAAAATCCTTCAAGAGTAAAAAGGATCTAATTGTTCAGAGTGCTGAACTTCAAGCCGTTATTAAGGAAAAGTTGGTCAGTACATGCTCTCAATTGTTCCATTTGTCAGATGGTCCATGCTTCGTGCTGACTCTATGTGTTTTGTAGAACATCCAATGTTCATACGAACCTACTGTTAGTGATGAACTCATTTGGGGAATGAAGCATGTCCTTCGTGGGTTTATGCTCTACGAAGCCAGCAAAATAACTAAGGAGTATTGTCGTCCACTAAGCAAGGGATTACTACAGTTCTTACAAGATCATTTGATCAATATCTCGCCAAAAATGGTAACTCTTCCTTCTACTGGAATCCCCCTACCCCACCCCCACAACACACACAAAAAGTTGTTCAATTCAAAGTAGAGCATCCGTCTTAAATTCTTAATTCATATAATTGACGCATATAAATATTTGTTTGATTCTCTTCTATGCATTTCAGCTTCATAATAAATTCATATCAGAAACTGGCTTGTTACGCTATGTGGACACAACTTTAGAGCAAGTTCCCAATACATTGAGGGAGTCATTTGATGAACATGTTTGTAGAATTGGTGAAAGTATTGAGGATGACTTAGACTACGCCAAAGTCCTTGCAAGGATTCTTGTTCCTGAGTTGGCACCACAATATGATTTTTTGAAGGTACATGCTTATATTTATTAGCACCAGAATATGAATATTTGAATACATGCAATAAACCACTGATTCACTTACATTTATATTTGTTCGTATAGATGTTCCCATTGGACTTAGCACTAAAGATCGAAGAAGCATATAAACATGCAACTAAATATCGATACGAAAAGCTTTCCATGCACGACAGGGAAATCATTATGGGAGCTCTTAGTCACCTATTGGCTGTTCCTAAACAAAGAAATGAGATTATGATCCGTGTCAAGCGTATGCAATCAGAAATGACATATCATTTTAGGACATTTGAAGGTACACATGAAGAACCTATAAGGTTTGTGCTGCATGTATATGCCATTGATGGGGATATGTTTATTAAGGCCAAAAATGCACATTGCAGTTGTCTTTTGTTACTTCTCACATTGTCAGTTTTTGCTTTTGTATTGATTTGTACAGGGAACCTGCCAATTTGAAGGATTCAACATATAGGAGGACACTCCTTGAGACTCCTTCTGGTTTTGCCATTTTTTATATTTGTGAGGATGTCTTTGAACGGCCTCAGGTACTCATCATGCACTTCATCCATTTTCCTTCCACTCCTTTGGGTGACAGTGATAAAGTTTTTCTCCCTTTCAATTTTTGCAGCACATATGGACATCGTTTATCACTGAAATGGAGGCACTTGGGGTATAGAAAATAAACCCATGCACATACTAGTTATTTCCATGTAATTTGTTCCCTAGATCTAATTTAAGCAACATGGCTTCAAGGTTCCAAGCTTCATGTGACTAAAAGGACTGTTTTCAATAAAAAATCCTTCTCTTCTTGGTTGTTTAGTCCTGTCAGAGGAACTGATAGCCTAAATTGCAGCAATTGTGTTCACCATGGTTTCAAAGGTGACTCCACTGTTCCCCAAGGCGAGCTGGGTACGCCTGGACATCTAGGCGACGCCTTTGGAACAGAGGTGTTCAGCTTGGAGATAAGCCTAATCTGCACATTTCTAGGTGGTCCTTTTGGAATGTTAGTACAAAACTATTATTGTAGGATGCAAGTGGGTTGACCAAAATCCACTCCACACATTTAGAAATAGAATTCTATCTCCAATCATAGTGGCTGTTTTTTTTTAAAGTAGTGGCTGGTTTTTTTCCTCCTCCTTTACCCTGGCTTGAGACCTGCTATGTTGAGATAACACAGATAGGTTCTGACCCACATACCTAGCATGTAACACTTGATCAACTATTATGGCCACCTAGGTAGGATACATTGGTTAGTGAGTTGGCAGGTGGTGCTACCTTGCGCATAGGCATTGGCAACAAGAGCTAGGCTGCCAGCTTTGAGAAACACTGCTAGATGCTAGCACGATAATAGTTTGCAGAAAGTCTGTTTTTTCCCTATTCTTGCATGTGGTGCTCCCTAACTTCAAAATTTAGTATGTTTTAATTTGTTGGCTTGTTATTTCGTGTTCTCTTGTTTGAGACAAGAACCATATTGTTCATGCTGGACTTGTATTCATATGTTTTTTTGTACTGCTGTAGGGTGGGTAATTCTTTTCTAACGTTATGCTATCATGGCTGTCAGGTTGTCTTAGCTCTCGGTTTCGTAAAGGTTCATGACAAATCTATTGTCCGGGATAGTTGTCATGGTCCTGGTCAGGATCTGAGCAGGCTTATTCGAAAGCTATGTCCGCATAAAACTAAATTGATTGTTCAAGATGATGATCTTAAATCTGTCATTGAGGAGAAACTTGTCAGTATATTCCCTTAACTGTTACATTTATCTCAAATGATGAATGTAGCCTGAATTCTAATGTTGGTATCATTTTCAGAAGGTCCAATGTTGCACTAAGTTTTCAAATGATGATGATGGTGTTGGTGTGGGGGCTAAAGCATGTCCTGCATGAATTTATTCCCCAAGAAAAGGGCAATTTAACTGAAGACTATTATCTACCAATGAGCAAGGGATTGCAAAATGTGTTACAATCATATGGTATCAGTGTCTCACTAGGACAGGTACTTATTCTCCCTTTGCTACCATACAGTGTTTACTACTCTACTCCAGATACCAATGTAGTTACATATAACTGGCGCCACCATATATCCATATAATAAGGTGACAAACATAAATATTTTGAGGTGCAGCCTACACCAGAACCTCCTAACTTTTAAACAATCACATGCCACCATAAGGCAGCATTAAAGCATCATCAAAACATAAGCTTTGTACCCATGTTAGTATTCGTTTTGCATAACTTACCATCTCCTGAGCGGGAATTGTCTGTACATGGGTTGCTGGCTACAAGCTAATTGCTTCCAAACCCCTATGGGAGCCACAGATCCATGGGAGTCTGATTTGGTTTACTCTTAAGTTTTCTAGAGAACTGATCCAGCTCCCATATCTTTGATGCAAATCATAAAATACATACCCATGGCTTCAGCATTCTTAACAACTCCCATCCATTGTAATTTCTGAAAACGTAATGAAACCCAAAGCCCCCTCCAGTTGCAGGGCAATTATACTCTAAAAAAATGTTCAACAGTTTCTACTTTGGAGCATAACACCTTTTGTATAATATGTTCCTCAAGATTATATAGCTATTGCAACATTTGCACGCTCACTAGTAGAGAAAGGACTCTTGGTTCAGCATATTAGTCCCGGTTAGAATTAGACCCGGGACTAACGTGAGCATTAGTCCCAGGTCCAAGTTTCTTGGATGTCAGAAGACCTTTAGTCCCGGTTGGTGTTACCAACCCGAACTAAAGGTTATACATTAGTCCCGGTTGGTGTTACCGACCCGGACTAAAGAGCCTTGACCCTTTAGTCCCTGTTGATAACATCAACCCGGACTAAAGGGTGACCTTTTAGCCCCGGTTGGTGTCACCAACCCGGACTAAAGGTCTCTCACGGGTAAATTCAAAATGAGGGCGCCCAGGACTTTATCACATGTGTTGTGCAGTTGAGTTGGTAAGGAAGCTACGCGCGAGGCAAGAGATCCTGGGTTCAAATCTCACGCACCACAAGAGAGGTTCCCGGGATTTAAATTATTTTTTGTCTCGAGGATGGGCTTTAGTCCCGGTTGTGCGACCTGGGACTAAAGGCCAGAACCTTTAGTCCCAGATCTGCAATCCCGGTTGGGAAAACTTGTTGGGTTCAAATCTCACACACCACAAGAGAGGTTTCCGGGATTTGAATTATTATTTTTTTGTCTCGAGGATGGGCTTTAGTTTCGGTTGTGCGACCCAACCTTTAGTCCCGGATCCGTAATCCCGGTTGGGAAAACCAGGACTAAAGGTTGTTCCCAACCGGGACTGAAGCCCATGTGTCTACTAGTGGCTCTAATTTGTAATTAAATGTTTTCCACACACAAAAAAAACTCGTAATGAAATGTTTCGAAAGAAAAAAGTGCCTGTACTCTGTTACTTAATAGGGGTATTGATGGTCATTTCTCATTGATTTGGTTAGTGTTCGGTGCTTGCTATGGACAAATATTGTGTATACCAATTTTATCTGTAGCGTGTGGCCTCTTGGTTCTTCAGATTTATACATTTGTCCATGCCGTCCAAAGTATTGTTTATGTCTTTGGATGCACATCTTTTGTTTTAATGTTCATTAACATGTGTGCCATACTTATTTGGAGGTTATTAGTAGAATTTGCAATCTGTTGGTATTAGTGACCTTGCATTATTTGATTTTTTTTCTGCCATCTTTACATTTGTAGTCTGTTTTTTTTTTAATTTCACTAATTTGCCAAAATGTGCGCAAAGCATTCTAATTTCATTAGCTACTACTTCCACAGATGGATAGACAGTTTGTATTCGTTCTTGGCTACTTGGAACATCTTAACTGGGTTTCGTCAGATGTGCCTCATCTTCCGTCAGTCGTTCGACCGTCATGTTTCTTGTATTGGTAAATTGATTGAAGATCATGTGGACTATGCAAAAGTGGTTGCACATATCCTTGTTCCTGAGTCCGAACAGAATTTTGATGTCAAGGTTGTGAATGTTTTGAATTCATTTGCTTTAACTTTTTATTCAATTCAATGGTCAATCATTAGTTGATAATATAAATGCCTTTTCTTTTGGTACAGTCGCTTTCAAGTGATCTGGAAGGAAAGGTGGCTGAGGTTGCAACAAAGGTAAACAAATCAGGGAAATCTATCAATGATCATGACAAAGAAGTCGTACTTGCAGTTTGTGGCTACCATTCAGATGTTCGTGAAAAAAAAATCAATGTCTGCGGTTTCTCAAGCGTAACGGTTCAGAACAAGAAGAGTTACCAACAGTTGGGGTGGATTATGATTATGAAGTGACCTCATGGCTAACGTCTCTGTCAAAGAAGTGAACAGTTGATGATCTGCACATTGCGCCTTGTCAAATGAGAGATGGTGAAGGTCGAGCAATTGACTATTGTGTAAGCTAAGCTTTCCTTATGCGGGTATGCATTGCATGCCAGTTTCATTTCTCTCTTCACGTACGCTTTCAACGGTAAACGTATACGCTTCACCACTTTTATTTTAGTCGTACAAGACGGCATTTCATCCAAGCTACTAGCTGCTACTGCTGCTGTTCGTTACACGCTCTTGTTTCAGCCGCGGTGGCGGGGGCACCAGTAGTCACGCCACCACGGTCGCTCTCGCTTCCGCTGCCGCCGCCGCCGCCGCTTCGCTTCTTGAGTTCCCGGAACACCCGCGAGCTCTCCTCGAAGATGTGCGCGCGGCGGTCGTAGTCGGTGGGCCTCCTCCAGCACCTCCAGCTCCTCAGGCACCAGCTCGGCCTCCTTATCCGCCTGATCGACCGCCGTCGCCGGTCCGTCCTTGCGCGCCTCAACCGGGCTCCGTCGCCCCGCCTCCGCACGGCGCGTGGGCGCGCAGTCGCCGCGCGGGAGCCACGCACACGCACCAGGCGCCGCCGTGGCTCGTCGTGGCCCGCCGGGGCTGGCACGTCGTGCCCTTGCCCGCGCGCGCGCGCTGTACCTCCGGCTGCGCCCGCGCGGGGGCCAAGCGCAAGCGGCAAACGGGTTGCATGTCTCGGGACTCGGCAACCGGTGCCGGGGATCGGTGAACACACGCTATGGGTTGGTGGTACTTCGGGTGCAGACTGCAGAGCCGGGGAGATCCTGGCCGGTGTGGCATGCTGCGGCTTTATCCGTGGCGCGTGGGCGCGTGGCGGGAGCGGGAATGGGGAGGGCAAGACCCGGGCGCCTCGCACGCGTACGCGTGGGGCGACCACGCATTTGGGGATTTTTTTTATTTTTAACACTTTTTTAAACTAATTTCAAATCTAATATTTTTTTTCTAAAACAAACACTTTTGTTCGCGTCTATTTTTCTGGCGTGGCGAAACGCCTGTGCCGCGCCATGCATGGTGGCGCGGCGAGAGGGATAACGTGGCGACGACTGGAGCGCTGACCGATAACGTGGCAGGATCTGTCGCGCCATAGCCCACGGCGCGGTACTGACGCGTCAAGGCCTATGACGCGGTAGGACCTGGACGCAGACAGAAGCCGACCAACCTCAATTGCAATTGAACGGGAGCTGCTGTCGGTGCTGTAAACAAGTATAAGTGTTGTCGCGATGCATTGAAACGAATATGAAGCAAATAAATAAAGTCCGTGCGCTAGTTGACAAATTGCCACATAACATTTTTATTGGTTCATGAGTCTGCAAGTTTCCGATGACAATATTCGTTGGACATAAGTTTGACATAAACCAACTAAGTCCCAGGAGTGTAAGGATCCCTCGACGTCTCTGTCTCTTCGGATTTGTAGACAACACATTGGGAGTGTAGCCAACATCGGTGTGGTCGCGTTGCCGGTGGGTACGGCTTGTACCCTACAAGTATATGATATGCACGATTACTTATACTCTTTATGAGCGTTAGTTCATGAAGTCTACGTATTTAAAGACACTACCTTTGTTACTACCTGTGAGGCTCCTTGGGTACCAAACGGGGCACCACCTAGCCGAGACATGCCGATCTCGTCCTGCTGCCAAGGGTCCCACTGGTGGTGCTGTATGCGAAAGCCCGAGGGGTCGTCGTCATCGTCGTCGTCATTGTCCTCGTTTGCAGGGTCCTTCCCAGCGCTATAATGTGGTGGTGTACGCACAGCGAAAGCGGCACCTATCACCGACTGAGAAGAGCCGGCTGGCGTCCTCAAAGAGCCAGAAGACGTGGCACCCGACCGCGTCTGGTAATCGGGTTCCACCCAAGGAGTGTCCATGCAGCTCAACTTCTGAGCTAGCTTCCTGCAGCTCCGCTTCACCTTCTGCATGAATAGACGTTAAAGTTAGTGCATTTCCCAAACGCATATACACTAAAGAAACATTTTCGGAACGGACAAGTTTATGTTTATCACCACAAAAAGCCTTGAGAACGCCTGACCCCTGTCCTCTAGACTCGTGAAGCCGAAACGCTGCTTCGTTGGACAGCCTTGACAATTGTGTCGTCTGGGTACAGAAACGTGGTTGGACAGTTTTAGTACACATACTTAATACTAAAAGGATAACAAATTATACCATTCGAGTATCTTACCACGTATCTTTAAAGCGGGGCTCTTTGTAGTTGTGTGTCGTCCCTAGTGGCAACGACGTACACATCTTCGATCACATCTTTCTCGTCGTCCTCATCAATCGCCTCCTCAGTGTACGGGGGCTTGATATGTGTCCTCGTAGATATGTGAAGCCACCGCAGGTACTCGTCGAAGGTGTGCTGGTCGTGTGGGGGGCCCTCATCGACCGGCTGCCGGTCTCTGGTCTGCCACAACTGGATGTACGCGTTGTGTGTCACGCGCCAATCCTTGGTCTTGAACCTCTTCCTACGGTCATACCTGCAACAAAACGATTATTAGTTGTATCATACACCTCTGAATTATAGCTTTGTTATTAATCGATAACGCACCCGTGCAATTCTTGGTTGATGGAGTAAAGCGGTGGTGGGTAGCCTGTCATTCTTCCAAACTGCCTGCAAACCCTGATGGGCAAGTGAATCTCGACCACGTGGAAGAAAATAAGAGGGACGTTGCAGCGATACTCGTCTGACTCATCCCTAATGATAGGACTCAGATAGTCATAGAGCTTCGGAGCATCCTAAGGACACCAATGCACCTGAATATTTCGTAATTGAGTTAGGTTGTTATATAGTGTACATCGAACAAGACACATGTATGATAGTAAAGAGAGCGTAACTTGGTGTTGTGTCAGGACGTCGAGACAGTCCGTGTACTCCCTGTACTTGCGCCTTGCATTTCCTCTAACTCTGCTTGTGTCCAGATATACAGAGCGGTAGACAGTGTATCCTGCCCCGTTCCAATGCTGCATTGAACATGATAATGAATTAGCCATTAATAATTTTATCATATGTAACTGCCTTGAAGAATATAATGAACCGAAGTACTTACAGAGAAACCAGTAACAAGGGGCCTCCCAATGAGCCATTGTTCCCAACACCAAACCTGGAGTAGGTAAGAGCAACCCCAAGGTTCGCATACCCTAAGGTGCGACGACAGACAACGCATAGCTGTCGATACGTCCATGCCAGGATTGCGCTGCCCCAGCTGTACGCCGTTATGTTATCCCACGACTGACGTAGTATGTCAAGAAAGATCCAGCTGATGGTGTTGCCCGAGGCGTCTAGGAATAGGAAAGCACCAAGGAAGTGCCAGAGCCACACTCTAGCGAACCTGTCGATCTGAGCCTCATCAGCCTATGGGTCCAAGTAATCAAAGCGCTCTGTAATCCACGACGACGAAACACCGGAACTTTCCCTGAAATTCACTAAAGAAAATGAGACCCGATGGCTGTAGGAAAGCAATGCAAATATTAAATAGGCTTGAATTGCTCACTTATTTTTCTTGGAAATCTCATCGTCCGGTGAAAGAAAGCCAGTGAACTGAGCCATCAGCTTCCTCTAGTGATCGTTATCAACTATACCTGCCACTAGAAGCCCCCCCAACCGAAGGCCAAAGATAGCCTTCATGTCCTGCATGGTCAAGGTCATCTCGCCGCAAGATAGGTGGAACGTGTGGGTCTCAGGCATCCACCTGTTATAAGAATAGAACGACTGTTAGTTACCTCAAATTTGTTATAAGAATGTTTACTTACAATGAAGGTACTCACACCTGTCTACAGCTACAGTAAGTAGTGCTGGGTCAAGGGACGGAAGACCGTAGTTGACAACACAGACAAGCTCGAGGAAGTCGACACGTCGTATGTACGACGTGTAACGCTCGTCCCACTGGTGCGCCCTGGTGTGCGTGTGGGGCCTCAAAGGAGGCAAGGGCACCTCTACGTCAGTGTCAGTCAAGAAGTGTGCTCGGTACGGGTCGTCGTACTCCACCTCAAGAAAGGGGTACAACTGGTGCTGCGTTGGAGGAGTCATACTGTTACAAATTGATAAACAAAGGGTTAGAGTATTCAAATTAATAATATTCAAATTAACATTATGTAGCATTGCAAAATTTGAACTACTTGTTATGTAATACGAACACAATATAAAAGCACATTTATATATTCAAAGTAACATTAACAGACATATTAAACAACTTCACTAGAAAAATAAGCATTTGACGAAACTTCATCAAGTTATCCAAATCATCGTATCACGCACTATTAAGTACCGACACTTGAAAACTAGTATCTATACTGACAACCTTTACTACTATAAACTAACTAAATAATAAATACCTAATCAATCCATAAACCCAAAGTCCTAACTAACAGTAACCTAAAACCTAACTACCTATCCAAACCTTAACTATACTACAACACACAACCTAAACCCTAAAAACTATCTACCTAAATAAACAAATTCACTAACCTAAATATCCTAAATCACTAATCCTAACTAAAATAACATTCATAATAATAAGAAATCGAGAGAGAGAGCTACCTTGATATGAGCGGGACCTTTTTGGGTCACCCAAGCCGAAGGAGATGGTCGTTGGCGCCGACCGGCGGCGCTGGCGCCCCAACACTGGCGAGGCAGCGGCGCCTGGCGGTCGGCTACCGGGCGGCGGCGGATTGCGCTGGGGTCGAGGGCGGGCGCAGTGGGGGCGTCGCGGGCTTTTACTGGGCCTTACCGCGCCACTAGAGCTGGCGCATCATAGCCGCGCCAAGATGGGTGGCGCGGCAGACCCTACCACGACGACGTCATGTCATCCTCCCGCCGCACCACCATGCATGGCGCGGCACAGGCGTTTCGCCGCACAATGGCAATAGGCGCGGCAAAAAGTGTTAGGGCCTGTTCGTTTGAAGGAATTCTAGAGGAATTTGGATGGTTTGGAGGAATGCTGGAGGAATTTGTGAGAGAAAAATACTGTTCCGGATGAAAAAAGAAACGGATCAAGCCGGATTTAAGAGCACGCGAACGGGGTCTTAGTTTAAAAAAAAATGTTAGATTTAAAATTAGTTTAAAAATGTTAAAAATAAAAAAAATCCATTTGGGTTGGTCGGGTCGATGGGCAGAGGTGGCTGGGTGAGTGGGGGGACTGGGGGCGGACGTGGTGACTCTACGGACTACGGAGGCTGGACGCCTGGACCTGGACCGCTGGAGCGACCGTCAAGCATGGGCATATTTCGCTTCTGCAGTTCTGCAGTAGACGACACTAGACAGTAGTGTAGTCCGTCACGTCTCCACGGATGGATCATCATGACTTGAAGGCTGGGTACTACGGTGGGGAGCATGACGCGGGTGACCGCGCGCCAGTTCGGCACTTCGGCTGATCTGCAGACGCACGATACGATATCCACTTGCTGCCGTCCCACATCTTGTTTTTGCTTAATGTAATGTAATTGCTGAACACGCACGCACGTCGTGGCTTAATTGCGCGGCAATCAGATTTTCAGTGCCAGAGACTATTTGGATTGGAGTACAGAAATTTTAAAGAAAACCGGTCCTCTATTCTGCTGACATCAGTGTTTAGAACGGACGAATACACAACCGAGAGAAGAAAAAAAGAGTTCGTGCTAAGGTAGTTTGGACCAGAACATGCTGTGCTGACGAGCAGTGCCGCGGGGCCGAGCAAAAAAGAAAGGGCATGCACGACCAAGCTCAATCAAATGGGCCCGTCCGTTTCGCTGCTGAAAAAACAGTCGAAATACTGTTCCGGCTGAGTTGATGTGAGAAAAAAAATACCGTTCTGGTTAAAAAACAAGCTAAAAAATACAAATTATAAGATAAAGCGAACAGTGCCGGTCCCAGCCGTAAGCCGAACCTAACGAAGCGACGACGATGCGAGGCGAAAAAGTTCACGGATCCACATCGGCGAACGTGCACGCTCGCACGAGTTCCCCCGGATCTTCTGAGAGACCGTTGTGTGCATGTCGCCTTTTGCCCTTCAGGTAGGTACGTTTGGATCCTGGCAAGAAAAATACTCAGCCCGTTCGGCTGTACTACTTTCAGCCTGTTTCAGCTTATTCTCTCACAGAACACTATTGAATCATCTGAAATAATCCAAAATCTACTGTGCAACCCATCTAGCCACAACGTTTGGCAATAAAAAAACATAGCTTTTGGGGGGGCGACCTTGCCCCGCTCGTCCAGAAAAGCATCGCTCCTGAGGGAGGGCCGATTCGGCTCGCCTTCAACGGCAAATCACACTCGTGCCGAAGAAAATGCACGCGAGACAATCTCATCCGCAACAAACTCCGCTTTTTCCCCGTCCACACCGCCATGTTCCTCAACATCCCATGTGATTTTTGCTCCAACACCTCCATAAATCTAGCCAGATCTCAGTTTGCAGGCACCATAACCTCCACCTAGTAGCTCCATTCTCGTCCTCTCAAACTTGACCGCTGCGAGACCACAAGATCGATTTCATGGGTTGTCTTCAGTGAGCAGGGGACGATAGAGAGCAGAGACGGAGGAGCAGGTTCCTCCTCTTCAGCTTGCAAGGTCTGTAATCAATCCCTAATGTCTATTTTTTTCATCCAGAGATTAATTGCGATTGGAATACGCCCGATGACTCTTTAGATTGGGGATTAATTCCATAGAGTAGATGGCGTGCTTAACGATTAGGCTCTGATATGGTGTGTGCGCAGCACACTACAGTCTGCAGATCTATTTAAAGTATAATCCTGTGATTTCTAGTCAATCCCCTCCACACATAGATATTGGCTATTGTATCAACAATTCCTTGAATGAACAAGTACTCAGGATGGAGATTTAATTGGTGATAAGAATGCGAATCGTGCAGAGGATGTTGACCTAGGTTTGCAGTACGATTCAGATTGTCTGCCTGAAGAGGAGGACGACAATAATGGGGGAAGCTCATCTAGTAAGCGTCCTGCTGCTAGCAAGCCTAAAAAAGTGAAGAGAACTAAGCGTGATGATAGTGCGATCTCAGAGGTGACTCATATTCTGCGTGATATGTCTGACACCATGCGCTTCACTCATGTCACTCATCCAAATGAAGAATTATTCAAGACAATTGATGCTATGAAAGAGTATCCATTATTTGCTCGACTTGAATTACAAGAGTATCTTGCAAATAATGTGAAGACTGTTGCTATGCCGAAGGGAAGACCATTGGAGGCCATCAAGGAGTACGTCGAGAGATGGTTTGTTAAAAACTATCCACCTCCGATGATTTGAGTTTGTTTAGATCAGACTTTACAATAAGTATGCACATTTTATGCTTTTCATAGGACTAAGGAAAATAATGGACCCTTGGCTGTAACGCCATGTTTTAAATGGATAGTATTTTATTTAGACAATGGCTATTTTATATGTATTTTATTCTTATATAATTATGAGCAATTTGATTCAGCACGCTTGTATCTGTTTCCATGTACATGAATGCTAAATTGCAAGGAGAAACGAGACAACAAGGTCGGCAAAGCTGTATACGCAACCAAATGATAAGCTAGCTGTCAAAAGAACCAAACTTGCTGTAGTGGCAAGGTTGACCTCGCTGAAATTGGCAAGTTTGTCCAACTGAGCTATATCCAACTCAGCAAGACTACCAAACGCACCCGTAATTTTCCACTCGAACTTTTACAGCACTCGTATTAAGTTCAGTGACCGACCAGGCAAAGCTGAGCCCTTGAGTGGAGCTTCTCTTCCGCATGTGATTTTTTCTATAGAAAGAGTTTCAGCCGCTCGCCATGGATTACAAACCGTACACCACATGCGGCTGTGAGCGCATGAAATTTGTCTTCCAAGTCGGAGCACCACGACGATTCGGAACCATGCATAATACGGAGACGGTATCCCTAGTCTACTGGGTTCCTTGCAGCAGTGGATGACCTGAACCTGACCTGGATCCACTACTGCACTCCGTATTATTGGCTGCCAGCGCTCCACTCGTCAATTATTCTACTGCGAGTACGTTCAACTTTCAGCCCGTGTTTAGCTGGGAGAGAAAGTTAGAATTTGGGTACTGCAGTATGTTTGTTTTTATTTGACAAATAGTGTTCAATTATGGACTAATTAGGTTTAAAACATTCGTCTCGCAATTTTCAACCAAACTGTGTAATTAGTTTTTTTCGTCTATATTTAATGCTCCATGTACGTATCGTAAGATTCGATGTAATGGGTACTGTAACACTTTTTTAGAACTATCTTTGGAACTAAACACGAGCTCAAAAGAAGAAAAAAAAAGGCGAGTTTGGCCGGCCGGGGAAGACGACGGTGGTGGGTTCCACGGAGATGGCACTTGTGCGCGACGACTTGATTTCCGAACGAATGAAGAAAAAGCCCGAAAACGTCTCTTCACGTCGCCTCCTCCCGTGGAAACACGCCACAACACATGCATTTATTTATTTATCGATGCGCGCTTGATTACACCGCTATGGAAAGGGAAAGAAAACCTTTCGAAAACGTGCCCCGGTAGTCTGATCTGAAAACCGAGAAATGCTCCTGTTTTTGTTTGGTACACTTCGGCTTTCTATTTTTTTCTCAACTTTTTAATTACAAAACCTCAAACATATTGGCCATGTTCACTTGTCTTATAATTCGTACTTTTCGGCTTATCTTTTCAGCCGGAACAATATTTTTCTCTCACAGCAAATCAGCCGGAACAGTGTTTCAGCTTGTTTTTTCAGCGAAGCGAACGGAGCCATTATGTTTTTATGTATGTTGTAATAACAATAAAATATATCTCCCTTTCAAAACAATAAAATATATCTGGCGCCATCGTCAAGTAAAGTTAATTGTTTAGCCAAGGTGGTTACAACACAGTCTACCACTCCATCCATTTTTAAAATTTGAGCATTTTGATTTTTTTAGATATATAATTTTTTTATTTTAAAATAATAACAAAAGCTATGTATGTGGAAACAATAAACGACCTATAATTTAGAATAGAAGAGTAAGACTTTAAAGTCTAGGTTTAATGTCCTACACATGTCTCATCATTAATATAGATATTTCTTTATTGATGGGTAAAATGCTCGTCATCAACGAGACATCTATATAATTCTTTCAAACCCAATATCTACACATCTATTTCTATGAAGTTGTCTGACTAATTTTCTCATACTTCTTATGTAAAGAAAAACTCCGATACTAGACACACGCATAATAAGTATCATACTAAACGCACATGTACAAAAGTCACTTGACCCTGACAAAATGTGCTACCAGGAGACATGTCATATATTTGTAAACTTTCACGTACTTCATTGCCAAACAAAAGCTAACAGCTTGGTTGGTTCCCTGCATTACCTCCTAAGGGCATGTACAACGGGTCTCTTGACCCCGTCTGTATGATGCCAGTTTTATAAAAAGACCCCCGCCGATGCCAGGAGACGCGGCCTCCGTCGTCGTGAGGCGACGGGTAGAGCTCGTGGACCGAGGTCGAGTCGACAGCTCCAGCACCGTTGTACGGTCGTTGTCGACGACCAGAGGGCGCGCGGATCCCGTGCACGCGCGCGCGGTTCAGTTTGGGCTCGCGGGAACCTTCGCCTTCGGTCGCGCCGGTCCACTCGTCGTCGCAGCCTGGGCGCAGCAGCAGCATCTATCGCCGGTGTCCGCTCACTGTCGCCGCCTGGACGCAGCAGCAGCATCCATCGCCACTACTGACGGCAAGCGCTCGGTGACGGCGGCCTCCTGCGTGGATGGATCTGGAGGACGTGGCTTTCCTGGCCATGCACAGATGCAAGCGGAGCCGGAGGGAAAGGTCGCCGTAGCAGTTGAAACGGAAGGACAAGGATGTCATGGCTTCATCCATCTATGGCTTTGGACTGGCTTCACGACTGTCTCTGCCATGGTAAGCTTCAGATCAGAGAACTTGGTAATCGATTAATTCTATTTGGTACTAATTTGTTTACTCATTGTCGTAGGTGTATTTGCTCTGTTTTTTCTGCATTACTACTGCAATAATTTGGAGCAAAATGAGGGAGGTGATGTTGTGTCGAGTGTAGCTTTGTCTTATTTATCCTTGATACATTTTGTATCAAATAGCCATACAGTGATATACAAAAATTTATTTATATTTGATCCTAGCTAAATGCAATGCATTAAACAGCTTAGAGGCGGACCCCTGTCTGTGGGTCGTATGATTTGTATTTATACCTGTCTGTATGATAGATTCGAGGCGCTTAGAGACGAACCCTCGTTTGTGGGTTGTACATACCCTAACCAGGCTCTAGGAATGCAGGATGGGCCTGTTTGATTGTCTGTAAAGGCCTTGTAGCCTGGCTCCACCAGTGTACCCACTACCCCTTAGCCTAGCTTACTGGAAACGAGCGGATCGGGCGTTTTCGTTGAGCCAAGCTTGGCTTAGCGGTCGTCTCACCTCACGCGCCCAGCAACAGGAGCTCCTCACCTCCCGCCCCGCATCTGGTGCTCCTCTACACGTGCGGGGCCCCTACCTATGCTCGCTCCCATGGCGCCGATCGCTGTATCCATGCTCCTCCACCTCGTCGGTCGGGGATCCGTGCTTCTCCTCTACCACGCCGGTCGCCGGATCCGTGCTCCTTCTCCTTGTGGCAAAACCGCCTAATCTAATGTTCTCTCAAGGCTACTTGTTCTCCATTAGACACTAAGTACCTAAGAGAGTGCACTAAATCGTGCTGTTCCGTCGAGCACACCCCAAAGAAAACTAAAAAAATCCACGTTTTTCATCATGATCATAAATGAGAGAATAAAGTTTACAATATTTTTAAGCCATTTCTTACATCACTTAATTACAGTAGCAGAATATTACCTTAATTGATTATAACAACGGAAAATAACAATGTTATCAGAGTTTTCAGCGGAAATATATATAACGACAAGTTTAAGCGCTAACATGAGGAACATTTATATACATGGAATGATAACAGGCTGTAAATCTTTTTCTTTGCAAAAACATTTTGTGAAAATTTTGAATAAACTCTACTCAGCAATGTAAGGAAATCCTCGCTGAGCCCATCAGGAGGTTTCCACACACAAAAGCATTCTACCATCCATCGGTCACCTGCAACAGGGAAAATAAAACCCTGAGTACTCGATTGTACTCAGCAAGACTTACCCGACAGGAGAAAAATAAAAGACTCCAAAGATATGCAAGGCTATCTGGCTTGTGGGTTATTACATCTGCATGAAGCATTACTAAACGTGCATTATTATATTCAATTTTATTAGCCAGTCATCATTAGTTCATTAACTAACCATTCTATGTAAGCATCTAAGCTACTTTCAAGCAGGTGGTGAGCAATCAGAACCATTTTACCATCTTTCATATTTTAGTTCTTATTACGGTGCTAGACCATAGCCAAGTCGTACCGTCTCACAGAGGTGGCCCCGCCATGACCCGACGAGGCACGACAGCGCGGGGATATGACCGCACGAGCGAGGGGCAGGCGGCACGTCGGTTAGCGCTTGGACGGAGCCATTGAAGGTGTGCCCGCGTGCGGCCACGCGCACGCAGCAGCATGGTGTCGCGATGCAATTGACTACGTACGACGTCGAGCTTGCGCTTGGTAGGTGGGTTGTGCGGCTGGGAACAAATGCTACAGCGACTGGTTGAGTCAGAGGGCGTGGGACAGCGCCACGAGCAGCGACGCGGCTCGAGACAAGGAGGGCTGTGGGTGGGGCAGCCGCGCAGCAGGGCGGTAGTGGCGGGCGAGGGGCGAGTGCCGAGGCCATCGGTCAGTAGCAGGCGTCGCAACCGAAAGTGGCCAAGCCACGGCCACGCCGCAGCTAGGCCAAGGGCGGCCACCATTAGCCTGCCGATGCACGCGCACGGCCAGAGGCAGCCACGGCGTGCACCGAACACGGTGACCACGCACTCCCGGCCAAACGGCCAGACACGTGCTAAGCATGACTTTTAAAGTGCGTCTAAAAACTAACCTAACATAGTTGAAGCTAAACTACCTCGACCATGCTAACGAGGGTACATCAGTCTACCATAAGGAGCAAAAACACAGCACTGACCTTTAGCTAGATTTTCCAGAATTAATTCACCAACATGGCATTGTCATACTGCTTTCAAACTTAAAATTTCTTCCAAGTCTTGAGCTGAATTTGACTTCAAGTTCGATTTCCAAACCATTAGAAATACTAGCTAGTCATATTATTTTTCTACAGCAAGAGTTGCATTGTCATCTACAAAGTTTGTACTTCAAACTTTATTTATGTGTCACACACATGTTCTATAATACTTTTGCTCAATAAAAATTGGTTTTTTACCCTACTTGACATAACATGAGTTATTGAATAAATTTCTATTTAACATTTTTATTGGTTATTTTAGGCTACCAGAATTTATCAACACCTTCTATCACATGCATTATTACATAAACATGATGCTCATGACATGATTTAGTAGTTTGTTTAGGGCGTAACACCGAGGGTGTTGCACTCCTCCCCGTCGGTCGCCGGATCCGTGCTCCTCCTCCACCCCGCGAGTCGGCGGATCTGTGCTCCTCCTCCACCCCGCCGGTCGCCGCGCCCTGCTTTCGCTCCTCCTCCACCGGATCCGTGCAGCAGTCGTGGCTGTCGACTGAGCACGCCCACTTCTGCCGCCGTTCTTCCTCCTCCGCCGTTCTTCCGACCGAGCACACCCTCTACTACAGCGGCGCCACCACCGCGGGCTCGCGTGGCAAAGAGGCCACGGGCTCCCTCCGGCTGGGCTGAGGCTGCCCGCAGGCGCAGCCTGCTGCCGCGCAGTCGTAGCGGTCCCCGTTCTCGCCGCCGTGGCCGCTGGTTGGCCGAAATCAGCCCCATCTCCTATGGCGATGATGAACAGAGACGATGAATCAATGGAGGTAAGGTCACCATTGTAGAGAAGAATTAACAGAATCAAATAATCCAGGCAACCAATCAAAATCTAACTTAGCTAGGCTTAGCTAGCACAGACAACCAAACACTGCTAGATTGCATTGATCTTGACAGGCTTGAGTAGTCAGGCTTATTTTTTTAGCCAGACTTGGTGGAGAAACACAACCAAACACACCCTATGTGTTCATTCGCGTAAAAATGATGGACTGTGCAATGTCTTTCTCCGGGAAAAACTCAATTCCCACTATAACCGACCTCATTGAGTTGCTTCATGGCGCTGCACAAGAATTTCAAGCACATTCTCAGGAGAGAGACCAAGAATTACACTACCAAAAATATCCCTTCAAAACGGGAGGCGGTTTCTTCTCTTTTAGCTCGAGACGAGAGAGGCTGAAAGGGTTGTTGGGCAGCGCAACTCAAGAGATTTTGAACTGCCACACCTGAACCTGAACTGAACTTGCCACAGTCAGCTCAACACATGTTCCGTTCCACGATAGCCCCAACGCACTCGGCGAAACTGGAAAAGGCCCCCAAAAGGTGCAAACAATACAACGCAGCGCCGCAACAAATCACACGCACGCACACGTCGAATCAGGTGAATAATTCGCGCTCCTCCACCCGTCCAGCACCTCCTCCGTCCCCGATCTCGCGAACGCGAAAAAAAAAAGAAAGAGCGCAGGAAAAAAAAAACTTCATCTCGTCTCACACCACACACACCTCCGCCGCCTGGCGTCTCCGCGTCTCCCCTCGCCACGTCGCCGTCCGCCGTCTCTCGGGCGAAATCCTAGGTGCACCGCGAGGCGCAGCCGGATCCGAGCGATCCGACCCCGGGAGCGCGCCGCCGCAGTCGCCGCCTCTGCCGCAGCCGCAGCCGGCGCGCCCTCAGATCCGCGTCAGGCGCGCCGCCGGATCCGCCGCGCCGACAGGGAGGGCGCCGCAGCACGCTCAGCTCGGCATTGGTTTGGCTCGATCCGGAGGTGCCCCGACTGCCGGTGCGTGTCCTGATCCTGTCCTGGTCCCCCGGCTGTCTCCCTTTGGCGCGATCTGGGAAATGTTCTCTGTAAAGTATTGTTTGGGGGTTTATCCGCTGATTTTATTCAGTGAAAGTAGTGCGAATTGTTTGATCCAGCTTATGGACATAGCTCCGGTCTTAGAAAATTAGGATTTTAGGTTTTTGAATCGGTACTCATTGATGGATAAGATTTCGAGTTTTTTCCCCTTTTGCTTGACTGCGTGAGTAATATTGTTTCCCGTTGTGTGTATTTACGAAGCTCAATAGCTGCTGATTAAGCTGTTTTTGCTTCAAGTTACCTGCATCCCGTAGAAGCTTGTGGAGTTTTCATCTAGCTTTGAGTTGTAGCTCGTCGAATTGTGCTCCATTAACATGTTAGCCGTTGTCCTTACAGTACTACACTGATTGATGAGACTAAAGCTTTTGCTATATGTTTTGTTTCAATAGGTTGGAGTAATCTGTATGCGTGGAGCTGCGCTTGGTGCTAAAAACTGTGCAACTATGAGATGGGTTCAGCATATAGCGTGCTGGAAGCCTGCATCGTGCAACTGAGCCCATCCTTCTGGTAGCTAGAGTCCTTATTCCAATGATGCAGGGGTTGGTAGGTGGCGGTTGTATATGACTACTGGTGATCCCTTGTTCCTGTCATCATCTGGAAGTGCAGATTCACCTTCAAAGCATCAGGCTCCTGTGCGGCCTTCGGTAGGCTCATTAGGCTGCCTCTGTGCAACTGATTCATTCTCTTCATCACTGTACGAGGATTGTGAAACGGCTTCTGTCACACTCACGGATGAAAGAGAGGCTCAACCAAGACATTTACGGGAGGAGTCTGATGTGAGCAGGGTGGCAGAGCGCTTCCAGTCTGCTGATTCACACTTCTTCCATCGTCTCTCGGTGGAATGCTCTCAGAAGGAGAGGCAGCGGAAGGTTTCCTGGGGTGGTGCAATGGAGATGCAGCATTCTCCATCATCCCCAGAGATCGGAATGGTATCTTCTTCCCACGAGAAGCCAAATCGCTCCCAGAGAATCAGGAACAAGAGCTCACAGTTTGAAGATCCATTTTTATCCGAGCATGAGCCAAGGCTAATTTACATTAATGATCCTAACAGGACAAATGATCGATATGAATTTACGGGGAATGAGATCAGGACAAGCAAGTATACTTTTATTACGTTCCTGCCTAAGAACCTCTTCATACAGTTTCATCGGCTGGCATATGTATACTTCCTGGTTATAGCTGCTCTTAACCAGCTCCCTCCTTTAGCTGTATTTGGAAGAACTGCTTCTCTTTTCCCACTACTCTTTGTGTTGTTTGTGACTGCTATAAAAGATGGATATGAAGACTGGCGGCGTCACAGATCTGACAGAAATGAAAATAACCGAGAGGCACTCGTACTTCAACATGGTGATTTTCGGCCGAAAAAGTGGAAAAACATTTGTGCAGGGGAGGTTGTCAAAATTCATGCCAACGAGACCATGCCGTGTGACATGGTTCTCCTGGGTACGAGCAATCCAAATGGTATAGCTTATATCCAAACTATGAATTTAGATGGCGAGTCAAACCTTAAAACAAGGTATGCTCGCCAGGAAACTACTTCCATGATATATGACGACGCATATTCAGGCTTGATCAAATGTGAGCAGCCCAACAGAAATATCTACGAGTTTACAGCTACCATGGAGTTGAACAGTCAGAGGGTTCCTCTTGGACAATCGAACATTGTATTACGTGGATGCCAACTTAAAAACACTGAATGGATTATTGGGGTTGTTGTCTATGCTGGCCAGGAGACAAAAGCTATGTTGAACAGCACGATATCTCCTTCAAAGAGCAGCAACCTAGAGAGTTATATGAACAGGGAAACCCTTTGCTTATCAGCTTTCCTCTTGATCACATGCTCAGTTGTGGCTACTGGGATGGGGGTTTGGCTGTTTAAGAATTCTAAAAACCTGGATGCCCTGCCATACTACAGAAGAAAGTACTTCACCTTTGGGCGTGAGAATCGAAAAGATTTCAAGTTTTATGGCATTGCTTTAGAGATATTTTTCTCCTTCCTCAGTTCTGTGATAATCTTTCAGATAATGATACCGATATCTCTGTACATCACCATGGAGCTAGTCAGGGTGGGGCAATCATACTTCATGATTGGAGATACACGGATGTATGACAGTAGTTCAGGTTCAAGATTTCAGTGTCGATCCTTGAATATCAATGAGGACCTAGGACAAATCCGATACATATTTTCTGACAAAACAGGCACTTTGACACAAAACAAGATGGAATTTCAGCAAGCTAGCATCTACGGGAAGAACTATGGCAGTTCCTTGCAAGTCACCAGTGACTTTTCACATGAAATAAGCACTACAGGCAAGGCAACTGACCTCTTTTTTTTTTTGGACCAACCTTTCTTTCTTGCTGTAAGAACTTTTGAGTTTTGAGCCTTTTAACTTGTTCTTTAGGAGAAAGCTGAAAATCAAACATAGTTGGGCTATATTCCATCCATCACTACTATGTATTAGGTTGAACCTTGAGTTTAAATTTCCACCTCCCACCATAGCTTTAATGGAGTTCTGTATGCTGCAGCTCATAAATAGTTAACTACATTCATTTTTATCTTTGGTCGTTGTATCTTACTTAAACAGTCTATGCTCCAATCTGAAGAAAGAAAACGTCACCTTGCCTTTCCCACAGCTTATTGACAAAAACAGCCAAAGCATATATGTGGTCTCCCCATTTGGGTGCTTGATACTACCATGCCATGATAGTGGATCAACTATGTTATTGTCTAAACCATTGTTCCATGTCCGTGCTTGAAACTGGAAACCTCTGTAGGTGCCTTGATTACTGTAGCTCATGGTGACTTAGCGAGTATGCCATTTTTGTATTCTTTTGTTTGAACTACATGAGATGATACATTATTGGAGGTCAGAAATTAAAAAATATGAAGTGTCTGGGATTAAACGAACAGCCAGCAACTTGGTTCCTGTCCAAGGTCCAGGTTTTTATAGAAAGTCTTTGAAAGCTCGTCCGCACTATGCAAAATTTAGAATTTTTCAGATTTCTTACCTTTTGAGTTTTGACTGCAAATATAACAATTTCATTTTGTTCTCAGTTGTGTTTTATTCATTCATTTTCTATATCTGAGCTCCAGATCATTTACCCGTCAATGCTTAAGCTTGTCTCATTTTGCAGAGTCACTGAGACAAAGTGGCAGGAAGCCTAAAGTCAATGTTGATTCGGCACTCACGGCGCTTCTGAATCAACCATTGATTGGGGAGGAAAGACTTGCTGCTCATGATTTTTTCCTTACTCTGGCTGCCTGCAACACAGTAATTCCAGTTAGCACAGAGAGTTCTCACGATTTGACAAGTGAAGTGGATGAGACAGGTGCAATTGATTACCAGGGTGAATCACCTGATGAGCAGGCTTTAGTAACTGCAGCCTCTGCTTACGGGTATACCCTCGTGGAAAGAACAACTGGACACATTGTTATAGATGTTCTAGGCGAGAGGTTAAGGTAAATACTGCTACCCTCTGAGTTCTCTGACTAAGTTGTAGCCACTGCTGGTATCAGTCCCAATGAATTCATTTTGCACCTTTGTTTTTTCAGAGTGTATATTTACTTACCAATCTTACATTGTCATAATCAGGTTGGATGTTCTTGGTCTCCATGAATTCGATAGTGTGAGAAAAAGAATGTCCGTTGTTGTAAGGTTTCCGGACAACAACGTAAAGGTTCTTGTGAAAGGTGCTGACACATCAATGCTAAGCATTTTGAAAGTAGAAATTGGTGATGGACTTTATGATTCGCTGCATGTTAAAATCAGAGAAGCTACAGAAAGTCATTTGTCAGCTTATTCATCAGAGGGTTTACGAACCTTAGTCATCGGTTCAAAAAACCTGACAGATGCAGAATTCAGTGAATGGCAGGAAAGGTACGAAGAAGCTAGTACCTCCATGCATGAGAGATCAGCAAAGCTCCGTCAAGCAGCAGGTCTGGTAGAATGCAATCTGACCCTTCTTGGTGCAACTGCAATTGAAGATAAATTGCAGGATGGTGTTCCTGAGGCCATTGAGTCTCTGAGACAGGCTGGAATCAAGGTGTGGGTTCTAACAGGAGATAAGCAAGAAACTGCTATATCGATTGGTTTGTCATGTCGACTCTTGACTCAAACCATGCATTCGATCATCATAAATGGTTCCTCAGAGGTTGAGTGCAGGCGTCTTCTAGCTGAGGCTAAAGCCAAATTTGGAATTAAGTCGGCTGATTTTGGGCGGGATTCGCAAGGTACAGAAGATTTGTACCATGGTGATATTTCTATACTGAGGCCCTCAAATGGCCACCTGTCTGAAAGTGCAGTACAAAACTTTGAACTAACCGGAGTTATTGCTGGTGACAAGTCAGAGTACAATGAGAAAGTGACCAATTTTGATGGCACTGAATTAGCACTGATAATTGATGGAAGCTCCCTTGTGTATATTCTAGAGAAAGATCTTGAATCAGAGGTTTGTTATTGATGCTTTTATTATTGTGGCATATTCTTAATATATTGGTTTATTAAATGCACAATCACTTCTGTATATCATTCCTCAATGCATAAGAAATATCTGCAGATACAAATGTCAAACTGAAGCTTATTTGTTGCCCCTTCATTCTTCATTAACTTTTAACTACTTTCTATTTCACAGTTATTTGACTTGGCAACTTCATGTAAAGTCGTCATCTGTTGCCGTGTTGCTCCTCTGCAAAAGGCTGGCATTGTTGATTTGATTAAAAGCCGAACGAGTGACATGACCCTGGCAATTGGTGATGGTGAGATACTGAATCTGATTCTTTGCTAGTTAGTACCTCATGTTTTTCTATTCCATCTGTTGGCCAACCAATCGTTGAAATTCTATGGGCTAATTGTTAGTAATGAGTAATGACTGAAGACCACCACCTTTAAGAGTTCAGGTAGAGTTCAAACTCTGGTAATTGGGTCCTTTTTTTTGGTTTTTCCATTGTATACTTTTTTTTTTCTCGAACACGCAGGAGAGCTGCGTATCGTTGTATTAATAGAAGAAGAAAAAGTCATAAATAGACCCCCCCCACCCCACCCACCCACCCACACACTAGTACATGGAAACTAAATCACCGGTTAAAACAATTGTATACTTTACTTTCTTATACTGTTTCTCTTATTTTGAAGTATATTGTAAGCACCCTTGAAACATTTGATGCAGTGTTTTGATGTACCTGTCCATATCTGATATTTGCGGTTTGAAAGAATCCAGTTCGAGTGTGTATTGGTAGTAGTTTATACTCTACAATTTCACTGTATCTTGAATGTAACACTTAGCACAGACCATTTCTTTCAGTGGCACGTAGGAGATGAAAGGATTTGATTGCCCAGAATGAAATGAAAATTAGCTTTCACTTACATTTGTTTTTTTGTCGTGTTTCAAATTGGTCAGGTGCTCCTTGACCTTGGAAAATTATAGAGTTACCCTATGGGGAATTAGCAGTCCCACGAATGATATAAATACTACTGTTTCTTTAGCTTTACTAACATCAGCGTTACCTTTTTTTCATCTTATTCTTGGGACTCTACATATTATTCCACACTTTGACTTTCCAAGTAACACAAAGGAAACAGAGCCTATCATTCCTTCCTGTTTCCTGATCCTGTTTCATCTTTTGGCAGGGGCAAATGATGTTTCAATGATACAGATGGCAGATGTTGGTGTTGGCATATGTGGTCAAGAAGGTCGTCAGGCGGTGATGGCTTCAGACTTTGCTATGGGTCAATTCCGCTTTCTGAAGAGATTACTTCTTGTACATGGGCACTGGAATTATCAGCGTATCGCATACATGATCCTGTACAACTTCTACCGGAATGCTGTCTTCGTGCTAATGCTTTTCTGGTACGATCTTCCCCTCTACATACCTTTCTTGTTGTTTGAACCTCTGGTCTGTGTAGAACCCTTTTCTTGTGTGTGTGCTTAAGCATTCAAATTTCAGAATTATACCGTTACAAAGTATGATGCTGTTTTTCTTTGCTCCTTGAGAAGACAGAGTTGGTGATGGTGTGAATTGATCTTTGTGTGCATGCCTATGTGCCATGTATGATTCATTGTAGAGAATTGATTTGCACATCGTTATATTTATATGTGTTATCTCATGAATCTTGATATGTTAAAAGTTTGACATGTATTTTGTGGATTCAAGGATAAAGAGGCAGTAAGGGCTTTCCATCTTACAGTAGTTGTTCCCTTTGAGATTCATCAGAGTTTAGACCAACTTGTATTATCACATATATCTTGATTTTCTGAAAGTTTGACATATTTCCTCATGTGTGTAGGTATATCCTATACACGGCTTATTCTGCAACTCTGGCATTAACAGATTGGAGCAGTGTTTTCTATTCCCTTATATACACATCAGTTCCAACGGTAGTAGTCGGCATTCTCGACAAGAACTTAAGTCATAATACCCTTCTTTGTTACCCAAGACTCTATGAGGCAGGGCTTCGAAATGAGGGCTACAACTTGACACTCTTCTGGATCACAATGCTCGATACATTGTGGCAAAGCCTTGTCCTTTTCTATGTCCCTTTCTTCACATACAATATCAGTACAATGGACATATGGAGTATGGGAAGTTTGTGGACAATTGCTGTGGTTATAATTGTCAATATTCATCTAGCCATGGACATTCAACGTTGGGTGCTTATAACCCATCTTGCTGTATGGGGTTCTATAGCTGCTACGTTTTTATGCATGGTGTTAATTGACTCTATACCAATTTTCCCTAACTATGGGTAAGTTCTGACTCACTGGTTTACTTATCACCTATGGCAATAGCATGTGATTCTATTTTCTTATTCCTGGCAGGACAATTTACAACATGGCTGCTTCAAGGACTTACTGGCTTAGTGTTTGTCTTATAATAGTCCTTGGGTTGCTTCCTCGGTTCCTTTGTAAAGTAGTATATCAGACCTTTTGGCCATCTGATATTCAAATAGCAAGAGAAGCTGAGCTTTTTAAAAATCTGCCCCAACAGTTGGGTTCAAGGCCTGCAAGTGACATCAGCTAACAACGGTTTCACAAAGTTATTTTGTCAATCTGAATTTGAGGCTGTGTTGATTCATTTGTTGAGCTGATTTTTGTCGAAATTTTGGTAAGTTCTGTTTGTTACCCCTTTTATATGAGGTATTTTGTACCTGCCATGGACATTGACAGGTTTACATGGTAAAATTTCTGTAAAAATATATTATGCCAAATAGAAAATAAAAGATATATTATGAAATCGGTTTCCATGATGAATCTTGTAGCTTATGGATCCCATGGTCTAAAGTTTAGTTGGCCACTTTAACTCACTTGTGTGGTATGACAAACAAATGGCTTTTTTGCGAGGCTGGCTAAGCTTTAGACAGCATTTTAGACCACCAGTTTGGAGCCTCGAGAGCAAGTGGTTTAAAGTTTAGTGGCAAAACTTTAGATCATGAGATCTAAACAGGACCTAAATCTGCTTATATTTGTGATTCTGTAACTGTATCAGGAATTAGCAGTTTTCTATAGAATTGAAAACGTTTCAACTGCAATTTCAGTAATCAGTAGGTCAGACATGGATATTCTTCTGTTTATCTAGCCGCTAGTGTTTACAGTATATACCAGTGCCTGAGCTTTTTCTTATGACTAATTTCTTGTTTTGGCTTAGATTATACGCAGAGGCAAAATTTGGTAAGGTATAAATTCGGCTCGTGGAAGAGGCTTCAGAATGCAATGGAGCCGCTGACAAAGGGAACTGACTGTACTGGTAGTGACGAAACGGCTTGGGCCTTCGGGGGCTAGTAATGGACAATTGTACAGATATGGGACACAACGATACATACACTTGTATTTTAAGGTAGTGCTTGGTAGTTTGTGTTTAGGAAATAAAAACGTAAATAGATACAAATTCTTTTTGCACTCTGGCATTTTTTTTTGTATCTCTGACAATATGTTAACCATCTTCATTTTCTTCCAGCTGCTTGAGGGTTTAGCTGTAGTGCCTTGCGCTGTTGGAATTTTACATTTTATTTACAGCAATACGAGGCCCAGTTCCCTAATGTAGTGGTTCCAAGCCACATGGAACTTTGTTGAACATTTATTTCTGGATGTATCAGTTTTAATTGCGTTGATGTAATGTTTTGGATGAAATGGCACCTGAAATAATTCACCTTTTTTCCACCACGGTCGAAACCGAATTTCATTACATTCAAGCAATGGAATTACAAAAGTTTGATACAATGTAGAGCGTACGGTACTAAGAACGAAAAGGGCAACCTCACTAGGTCTTGTCTAGAGATAGCAATAGGTACCCGACCAGTTTTTACCCTATAAGGGTAAAGCTATTTGTCAATTTCTTTACTTATAGGTTTGTTAATGGAAAAAAAGAAAGACTCAGCGGATTTGTGGGCGTGGGTCTGAGGGTGTAGTATCTGAACCCGCAAACCATGTGTTTTTTTTTAAATGACCCATTATAGAAGAGTAGCTCACATCAACCCACAATACCTCTGTCGGTGTTTTCGGACCACCGACGAGTAAATTTGTATTTGCGCGTCTGGCTCGGATGGTGTGCTCAGAGGACACAAGGGTTTATATTGGTTCGGACGGAGCGTCCCTACGTCCAGTTTGCTGCTGCTTGTATTATCGGCACTTGGTTTGCAGTAGGGGTTACAAACAGGCGAGAGAGGAAAATGATTCTAAGTCTCTAGTGAAAGGAGTGAACGGGTGCTGAGAGCTCGATCGCTGCTCAGCCATGTGCTCGTGTCGTGCTCTTGTATTTTTATCTCGTGGTTTGGTCTCGTGCGGATCTGGATCCTCTTCATGGACGCCCTGCTTCCCCTTTTATAGGCGAAGGAAAAGCACGGGTTACGGTAGACCTGTAGAATAACGAGAGAGAAGAAGGCTCTGGAGAATAACGAGAGAGAAGAAGGCTTCCAGGATCGCCGGGTCCTTCTCCTTCATGCGGGTCCCGCCGGTCCTGTAGATGTCAACAGGGATGGCTCCATGTTACGGCCCTGTTCGTCACTGGCACCATGCGCAGGCGTCATCTGCCGGTCATGGCGTTCCATTCCGTCACAGCGGACGTCGTGGTGAACTGACGCATCTGTCAGCGTTCATACGGCGATTAGGCAGAACAGCACCGGCACGCCCGACGCTGTTCTAGATGTGAATCCCCAGGTATGGCCTGTCTTGGCCACGGGTTAGATCAAGGCGTGCCAGCCTCTTTCCTGGCGTCAAAGTTTTGACCCAGGCCCATACGCTTGGACCTGGAGTGGTTGGCGGCGGTATGGGTCCCCGTCGGACGAGACGGAACCCGTGTCCTTGGGATCGACCGAGACGGAGCCCGCACCCAAGGGGTCGGGCGAGACGGAGCATGAACCCAAGGGGTCGGGCGAGACAGAGCATGCGTCCTTGAGGTCGGGCGAGACGGAGCCCGCGGCCTCGAGGTCGGGCGAGACGGAGCACGCGGCCTCAAGGTCGCGGCCTAGGGGTCTGGCAAGACGGAGCCCGTGGCCTCAAAGTCGGGCGAGACGAAGCCCGCGGCCTCGAGGTTGAACGAGATGGAGCCCGCGGCCTCGAGGTCGGGCAAGACGGAGCCCGCGGCCTCAAGGTCGCGGCCTAGGGGTCGGGCAAGACGGAGCCTGCGGCCTCGAGGTCGGGCAAGACGGAGCCCATGGCCTCGAGGTCGGGCGAGACGGAGCCCGCGACCTAGGGGTCGGGCGAGATGGAGCCCACGGTCTCGAGGTCGGGCGAGAGAGCCCGCAGCCTCGAGGTCGGGCGAGACAGAGCCCGCGGCATTAGGCGAGACCCCCGTAGCCTTGAGGTCGGGCGAGACAGAGCCCACGGCCTTGGGGTTGGGCGAGACGGAGCCCGCGGCCTAAGGGTCAGGCGAGACGGAGACCGCGGCCTCAAGGTCGGGCGAGACGGAGCCCGTGGCCTCAAGGTAGGCAAGACAGAGCACGTGGCCTCGAGGTCGGGCAAGACGGAGCCCGCGGCCTAGGGGTCGAGCGAGATGGAGCCCACGGCCTCGAGGTCGGGCAAGACGGAGTCCGCGGCCTTGGGGTGGGGTGAGACTTTTTAATACGTCTTGCCCCATCCGGGGAAGTCAGCGTGGGGTGCTAACTTCCTTACTTTGGGTATCCCTAATATCGATACCCGATAGTAGCCCCCGAGCCTACGGAGGAGTAGAATACTCCTTTGGAGGCTTTTCTGGATGGGAGGATTCTGAGGGCCTTGGCCTTCTTTTTGAAGCCCGCGGCGTGTCCTGGTAGGGCGTTGGTTCCCTTTCGTCATGACCGGTCTTCTTGGGGGCATGTAACCGTAAAATTCAGGAGGTCGGAAAAATTTTCTTGATTCCGGTCCCTAGGATCTGATCGGTCCCGTCGTCATACTATGGCCGTGCGTTCGGTCTCCTTATGAGTCCAACTTTCCTCGAGCCCCCGCGCGTAGAAGGGGTCCGGTCGAGGGTCGGCTCATCTTTGTGATGGACGAAACATGGTGTTCGGTGAGCTGTTTAACGGGCTAGTCCGAGAGGGGCCCCGGCTTCCTGTTCATAGGGGTCTGGCATGGGTCAGCTGGTGACCGACTCCAGACTCTTGGCAGTCAGTCCATATGTTCTTGGGTCCGTTTGGCCGGTCCTAAGGGCTCGTTGCCTTTCTTTGAATAAAAACCATAGACTGAGAACCAAGCAAGACTCGAACATGGGCTGGGATGCCCGCGGTGCTCGTGGGCCTGAGTACTGGCCGCTAGTGGCCCATCCCTTTCCACCCCTCGCTGGGAACCCATCGGTGGGCTAGCCTTCGAACTTCTAGTCCTAAATGGGCCATAGGAGCATTTTCAACTCTGGATCCCTTCTTACCTGTGATGGTTCTTGGCCCATTGAACGGGCAAACCGTCATCCGGCGTATCCTTCGAGGGCGTGGCCAGAGATAGCATGCGCGCAATCTTCGGAGGGAGGTGACGTGACGCGGCGCAGCGGGCGCGTGAACCTAGGCGGACGGTTCGCCTTCTCATCCCGCTCCACCCTGTAAATAACGGCCTCCCCCTTTGCGTTCCTGCACACCAAAACTACAGCCTTACCTTCTTTGTTTCTCCGTCGACGCCGTTCAGATCTACCGTGCTTGCTAATCCGCCGTCGGAGCCCTGATCCATAGCTTTCGCTCCTTCACCGCCTCCTTTGCTTCTCCGTAGCCACCTCCATCCTCCATGGATTCGTGGTACCGCTCCGATGTTACCCATGCGCGCATGAAGGGCCTCATCAAGCGCGGTCTTCTCTGCGGGAGGACCGATGCGGTGGAGTGGCTTGTGCCCGGCCACGAGGGTGCACCGGTGCCGCCCGACGGCTATGTCATCTCCTTCGCGCCCTTCCACGAGCGTGGACTCACGGTTCCTCCTCACCCGTTCTTCCGGGATCTGCTGCACCACTATCAGATTGAGCTGCAGCACCTAAACCCCAACAGGATCCAGCACATCGCGGCCTTCATCGCGATGTGTGAGGGGTACCTGGGGATCGAGCCCCACTTCAAGCTCTGGAGATATTTCTTCTCCATCTCCTTGATCAAGAAGAAGGAGAGAGGCCGGGAGACCCCGGTGCCGATGGGATGCACGGGCATCCACCTCTAGGGGCAGCAGGCAGCCGAGTACATGCCCTGTCGGCTCTCTAGATCCAACAAGGGGTGGCACTCACATTGGTTCTACCTGAAGAACGACCCTGCCGCTCCCTTGCCGATCTTCTCTTGGCGCCTGGTTGAAGAGGTATTGCCGTCATGGCCGTGGGGGCCACCCATCAAGGAGAAGAAGAGGATGCGTGATCTCCTCGATGCCATCGTGTTCCTGAAGACCCATGGCCCTCGCGGGGCCAGCGTCATCGGGGGGTATCACACGAGGAGGGTGGCGCCTCTGATGGCGCGTGTCCTCCTGCTGTACGGGATGATGCCCAGTGTGCAGCTCGTCGGGACAACGCTCGCCCAGCGGCTGCTCTGCGACAGCGAGGTCACACAGCACATCAAGGAGGCCACGGGGGAGGCTGACGTCGTGTTCCCAATC